GCCAGTGGGGGTGCTGAGAATCAAACTTAGGTCCTCCAAAAGGACGGCAAACGTTCTTAGCCACTGAGCTGTCACCCAGCCAGTTTAAGCATGCATTGGGAAATGGATTGTGGGACTGGAGAGCTGGCTCAGTGGTTAAGAGCGCTGGCTGCTCTTCCAGACAACGTGGGCTCAGTTCCCAGCAACCACACGGCGACTCACGATCCTCTGTAACTCCTGTTCCAGTTCCAGACACATATGCAGGTCAAACCCTAGTACACATAAAAGAGAAAGAAAGAAAGAGAGAGAGAGAGGGAGGGAGGGAGGGAGGGAGGGAGAGAGAGAGAGAGAGAGAGAGAGGAAAAGAAAAGAAAAGAAAATGAAGTTGGGCATAGTAGCACACACCTTTAATTCCCAGCACTCAGGAGACAGAGGCAGATGAATCTCTGAGTTCAAGGCCAGCTTGGTCTACAAAGTGAGTTCTAGGACAGCCAGGGCCACACACACACACACACATACACACACACACACACACACACACACACACACACACACACACGATTTGAGACACATTAGGTTATGCTATTCAGACAATAAACTCACCTGAGGTTAAGACCTCAATTTTAATATCGCCACACCGTCTTCCGGCCATCTCGCTGTGACACTTGGTTTTTGTTCTGCTGTCTCGTTGCTAAGAGTCTTTGAACTGTGAGTGGAGAGGTACTGTCAAGGAAGGCCTGGACTGATATCTCTTGAAAAAAAAAAAACATGCCCCCTTCCTTTTTTCTGTATTGCCTAGGCTCAAGCTATCCCCCTGCCTCAGCCTCCCAAGTACCTGGGACAACAAGTGTATGTTAGTGTCCCTGTTTTTCTATGCACGTACTTTGCATTGTTAGAAGCTAATTTTCAAGGGAGAGGCACACCACACTCTGTGTGTGTATGTGTGTGTGTGTGTGTGTATGTGTGTGTGTGTGTGTGGCTGTGCATACAGGTATGTGTGCATGTGTGCGTGTGTGTGTGTGTGTGTGTGTGTGTGTCTGTGCATCAGGTGTGTGTGCATGTGTACCACACACCTGCATTGGATGTCTTCCTTAATCACTCTCCATGTCGCTCTTTGAGGCCGGGTCTCACGCTGTCCGTCGGCAGGTCCTAGGGATCTGCCTGTTTTACTCTTGCCATGCTGAGATCACAGATATGTAGAGCAGTACCACCTTTATTTATTTTTTTAATTTATTTTTATTTATTTATTTACTTTGTTTGTTTTTTGGGACAGGGTTTCTCTGTATTGTTTTGGAGCCTGTCCTGGAACTCACTCTGTAGTCCAGCCCAGCCTCGAACTCACAGAGATCTGCCTGCCTCTGCCTCCCGAGTGCTGGGATTAAAGGCATGCGCCACCAACGCCACCTTTTTATATGGTCTCTGGGGATGGAGCCCTGGTCCCTAAGCTCACCTGTTAAACACTCCATCCACTGAACCATCTCCCTAGCCCAGGACTTTGGTTTTTTTGTTTTTTTGTTTTTTTAATTCTAGAAATCCCTGAAGTTTCTTCACTCTGTTTTCATGTCTCTTAGCCTCAGGCTCCCATCGTGTGTGTTGTACGCATGTGGATGTGTTGCTCACCTGTGTGCGCACCCCTGGTTCTGGATCTCAGGAGGGATGGTGACGGGCTTTCTGCCGTGATGTGATTCTGTTCATTCTCATCTGTACACATGGGCAGAGGTGAGCTTTTGCTTTCCAGGTGCTTGCACTCCCCGAGCAGTCTTTTCGTCTTCAGATTCTTTTTCACAAGGGTGGACAGACTTTCTAGGGCCCCTGGCTTCATGCAAGGATCTTAGTTCGAGGTCCTCACCTTGGGCCACCCAGGGCCGCAGACGTGAGCGCTGGCCTCTGCCCCCAGCTCCATACGATCCGCAGCGGCCTCCACCCTGAGCCGACTGGTCTACCCTTGGCTTCATGCTCCTTTTCCTCCCATTCAGGATTCAAATTCTTTTATATTCTCACAAGTTGCACCGTGCAATGCATTCAGAGGGTTTTTGTTAACTGCAAAGATTAGTTACTGTCGCTCAGTGTCAGCCACTGTTTCTGTGCACTCATTATGAGCGTAGAGGTTCACCTCCTCAGTCTAGTGTGGTGACGGGACTGAAGTTATTTTCTGACTCTTTTCAGATATTTTTAATTATATGTATGTGTCTGTGTGTGTGGGTATGTGCACCTGGGTGCAGTTACCAACAGAGGCCAGCAGAGGGCATCAAATCTCCCGGAACTGGAGTGAGAGGTGGTTGTGAGTCACCAGACGTGGGTGCTAGGAACTGAACTCCGATCTTCTGGAAGAGCAGCAGGCACCTAGCCGTTAATCACTTAACCACTGAGCCATCTCTCTAGCCCAACGCAATGGTTTTCAATGATCCTGATGTTTCTCCGTGGAGTCTAACTTTGTATGTATATGACCATGCACTGGCTTCAACGGGCAGTGACGTGAGAATGAATAGTTGGGTCAAGGAATAAAAGGTTTCTCTGGAAAGCCAGCAGGCTGGCAAGATGGAGGCTCTCGCCAACCAAGGCCGTCTTGTGTAGGGTCACAACCACAGTCTTACACAGGGTGCTGAGAAGCGGGTTAACTGGGCAGGTACCAGGATAGTCCTCGGCATATACTGAGAGGAAAGAGACACCCAAAAGAAGGCTGGGAGAAGATGGGGCAGAGCCCAAGTCAAGGTCTCTCCTGCAGTTATGAGTGAAGCTTGGACGTTATGTGAGTGAGTATAGGAGTATAGTCAGGTTCTGCTTTAGAATGCTCTAGCCAGCAACACAGGATGCATACCGCTATGGTCCCGGACAGCTGTGGTCCCATACAGCTGTGGTCCTGGACTGCTGTGGTCCTGGACAGCTGTGGTTCCGGACCACTCTGGTCCCGTACCGCTGGGGTCCTGTACAGCCTACATGTGTTTGGGACCAGGCTGCTGTAACGACCTGCTCAGAGGTATTCAGACACACAGAGATTACCCCCTGGGTTTCAGTCAGCCCAGGGACAACCTTGCAGGTTCACAGCCTAGGAGCAGCAGGCTGGGCCAGAGAGTAGTCCTACACCCCCCAGCCTCGCTGCTATCTTAGTTAGGGGGTTTCTGTTGCTGTGAAGAGACACCATGACCAGGGCAACTCTTCTAAGGGAAAGCATTTCACTGAGGTGGCGACTTACAGTCGCAGAAGTTTAGTCCATTATGGTCCTGGCATAACGTCGTTTTTTTGTTTTTTTGTTTTTGTTTTTGTTTTTTTTTGTTTGTTTTTTCTGTAAAGATAAAAGTACAGCACGCCTTTAGTCCCAGCCCTTGGGAGGCAGAGGCAGGCGGATCTCTGTGAGTTCGAGGCCAGCCTGGTCTACAGAGCGAGTTCCAGGACAGCCTCCAAAACAATACAGAGAAACCCTGTCTCGAAAAAACCAAAAATAAAATAAAAATTAATTAAGATAGTTCATCAGGTTGTTTTCCATCAATGTTGTCCACGTTTATTTGCAGTCTTTTCCTGTCCTCTCTCCTAGTCTTCCCCTGCCTCACTTCAGGGACATTTTTGTTGGTTCTTCTGGGGTAACAAGTTTGTATTACCATATCTAGCTTCATAGGATACTTGCGACAGAGCCCAGGCCTCCATGCCTGCTACCCAAATGTTTTACCAGCTGAACACCTTCCCCAGGCTTCCTTTGCTGACAGAGTGCCTCTCTTCCCCTCTCCCCTTCCCTTCCCTCCCCTCCCCCCCCGCATTCATTCCTTTGATGACCTCATCAGTCTTGGCCTAAAACTGATCTGCCAATGAGGTTCATCCTGCTCCCCCGTTTTTCCACTCCCGTGTCTAACAGGCATCTATCTCAACCCGACGTGCTGCCAGCCAAGCCCCCCAGGACCCCCATGTTGCTCTCCCTCCTCCGCCGTCCTTCTCAGCCCAGCAAAAGGCGACTTGCTTTGTTGGAGCCGGAAGCTTGGAGTCACCATGGGCGCCTCTGCGGTCCTCACATCCCACATCTGGGCATGCATGCTGGCTTCTTTCTCCAGAGTGCGTACCCCGACAGGAGCCTCCTCTCGACACCTCTCCACCCTCTACTCTCCTCCAAGACACCGCCGGCTCTCCTCTGGGCCTTCACAGCGGCGTCCAGCCGGCCTCTGTCTCCCCCCTTGTCCTTCAGTCTGTCACCGCCCTGCCTGTCACTCAAGTGGTGTCTTAGATTGGGACCCTGCTGGAGCCAAAGGCCAACGCTTACCTGCTTAGCCGAGACCTTGAATGGAAGCAGCCCCTTGGAGATACTTCCCAGGTGTATGCTGGGAAATACGCGGAAGGAAGGCAGCCAACACAAGGCGTGTTTTACATGAGGCACCACGTGGGCCACTGGAACTTGAGTTCCCTGCTGGGACCTGTCTGCGTCTGCCATGCTGAGGATATGCCTCTCACTGTCACTTGCAAAAGGCAAGGCGATGCCTGGGCCTTTCTATCGTATCCTAACTCCACATTGGTTGAGCATGATTTCCAGGGACTCTAAGTCCCTCCTCTGCCCCGTGCTCCAGGTTCCTCCCTCTTCTGTGATGTTCTGCCTAAACACACAGGGCTGACTGACCACAGACCAGCCCCAGCCCCCAAACAAACAAACAAAAAACTTCTTTTTGTTTTTTTCTGGTTTTCAAGACAGGGTTTCTCTGCATTGTTTTGGAGGCTGTCCTGGAACTTACTCTGTAGACTAGGCTGGCCTCGAACTCTCAGAAATCCGCCTGCCTCTGCCTCCCGAGTGCAGTCCCAACACCCGGCAAAACAAACAAACAAACAAACAAACAAAAAACCTTTTCTTCAGCTTCTTCTCTCAAGTATTTTGGTCACAGGGACACAAGGACACAAGGACACAGGGACACAGGGACACAAGGACACAAGGACACAGGGACACAAGGACACAAGGACACAGGGACACAAGGACACAAGGACACAGGGACACAAGGACACAAGAACACAGGGACACAGGGACACAAGGTGTAACCAATGCGCCAGCCTCACCGTCTTTGGATCTTTATTTCAAGGATACCATTTCAGTAAGGACTTCTCGGTAAAAGAAACATGACGCCTTCCAATAAGGACGATGTAAAAACACTTTACTGAGTACTCTTTACAGGCTGGAGAGATGACTTAGTGGGTAAAGTGTTTGCTGTGCAATCATGGTGTTTTCAGTTCGAGTCTCCAGAACCTACTACAGAGCTTAGTGTGGTAGCGGGTGTCTGCACGCTGAGTGTCCCTGTGGCAAGACAGAAATAGGAGGATCCCTGAATTTAATTTACAGGAATGCTTCACATGTCAATCCCAGCTCCCTCCCCCACCCCTCCTCCCTTGTCCCTCCACCAGCCCCCCCCAGTCTCCCACCCAATCCCCACACCATTCCCCAGGGAGGGTGAGGCTCTCCTTGGGGGGGGGATCTCTAAAGTCTGTCATTTCATCCAGGGCAAGACCTAGGCCCTTTCCCATGTGTCCAGGCTGAGAGAGCATCCCTCATTGTGGGATGGGCTCCCAAAGTTCATTCATACACCACGGCAAACACCGATCTACTACCCAAGGCCCCAGTGATTTCTGTGGCCTCCTCACTGAGATTCATGGAGTCTGGATCAGTCCCCTGTTGGCCTCTCAGGCATCAATCTGGGATTCGAGACCATGTCTTAAACAAGATGCAAATACATGAGACTTTCCATTGACCTCTGGGAGCATGCCAGCACTTACACACATGAACGTGAACACAGTCTCGAGCGCACACACACACACACACACACACACACACACCACCATCATCATCACATGTACATCATATACACATACAATACAAAAACATTTTCTTAAAGGATAAAGCCCTGTTTGCAAAGGCGTGGGACGACCAGAGAGATGAACGCCCTCTGTGTCCCCAACGCCGGTCCCTAAGGGTGGAAGAAAGAGGTGTGTTCTCAGACCCAGCCCCGTGGAAAAAGCCCCCGTCCTGCTGGCGCTGAAGCCTTCCGAGGAGGGGATGAGAGATGCTGACCTCACCTTTACCCACCCTCCGGTCTCCAGTATGCTTCCCTGCAGTCGCAGCCAGGGAGAAGCCTGAAGGCAAGGAAGTACGGATCCCGGAGGCAGGAAGCCCCTTTACCTGTTTGTACTGACAGCCTCCGGGCACCAGGCAGGAAGCCAGGGCCAGTGATGGATGTTCCCCCGACACACGCCAAAGGAGTAGCATGCACGCACACTCCTGTCCACCTTCATCTTTACCCCGTAGCGTTAGCATGATGGGGCCTGTGGGGTCCATTTGACTTCTGTTTAATTCCCATCGTGACTCACAAGGCATAAATGCTGCAAGGTTGGGAATAGATTCGTTTGTTTTCATTTTCATCCACTATTATTCTAGGAGGACTCTGAACTTAGCATGTGCACAACTAAGATTTTATTTCTTTTATATTTGCTTATTACGTATTTTATTTAAAATTGACGCCCGTGCCTGTGGGCCCACGTGCGTCTGTGTGCGACCACATCCACGGGGGGTGCCACAGAGAGGCCGGAAGAGGATGTTAGATCCTATGGATTAGAGTTGCAGGTGGTTGCGAGCTGATCTGCGGCTCTGGGATCGGCACTCTGGACCTTTCCGAAGCATGGTATGTGTTCTTTTCTGCTGAGCCATCTCTCCAGTCCCTTAATGTTGTGGAATGTAAGATGTGTTACATTCACTGATGCTGTGGAATATTTGCAGAGATGTGTTGCATTCCCGTATGTTGCACTTGTTTAACTCTTTAAAGGTGTGCTACTCTGCCTGTTTAAAACATCTGACGGTCTAATAAAGAGCTGAGCTGTCAATGGCTAGGCGGGAGAGAAATAGGTGGGCTGCCAGGCAGAGAGAATACGTAGGAGGAGAAATCTAGGATCCAGAGTGAAGGGGGAGGAGCTTGAAAAGGAGGAGAGGAGAATTCCAGGGGCCAGGCAACCAGCCAGGGAGTAAGAAAAGAAAGATATTTAGAATAAAGAAAAGTTAAAAGCCCAGAGGCAAAACGTGGTTAAAAGAGAAGCAGGATAATTTAAGTTAGAGAAGCTGATTAGAAACAAACCAAGCTAAGGCCAGGCATTCATGAGTAAGAACAAGCCTCCATGTATTTATTTGGGAGCTGGGTGGCAGGCCCCCAAAGAGGAAAACAAAACAAAACCAACTATACCTTAACATTTCCCCTGGGGGAGAAGGAACAGCTCAGTGGTTAAGAGTGTGCACCATTCTGACAAATAACCTGAGTTTGTTCCTAGCTCCCGTTGTCAGGGGGCTCACAACTGCCCCGTACCTCCAGCTCTGGGGCACCCAACGCTATCGTATGTCACACACGTGACGTACACAGACACAGGTAAAAATAAATCCCAGAAAGGTTTTCTTGTCTTGTTTCTTTTTTCTTTCTCTTTTCAGTGCTGGGGGTGGAACCCAGGGTCTTTCAGATAGAAACCAAATGCTCAGCCACTGAGCTATGTCCCCAGACACCACCACCATTATCACCCTCCTCCCCATCATCAACACCACCACGATTATCATCGCCATTATCGACTCCACCATCATTACCGCCACCACCCTCGCTATCTCGTGGTGCAGGGACTACACCTAGAGCCTTGCATGTGCAAACGCTCAGCCCCTGAACTGCTCCCCAGCCCTCCACCGAGACTTCTCTAGTGAAGTTACCTCCCAGCTGTGGTAGGCGCAAGAGTCCTCCTAAACGTCCACAGACCCTCACCGGGTGTCTGCATGGTACAGGACAGGCTACGTGGTACGGGACAATCAGCTTTCCACATGGACTTAGGGTTGCTCCACTGACCTTGGAGGAGGGAGGTTAGCTTGTGCTATCTGTGCATCCAGTGTAATTGCAGGAGTGCAGAGAAGAGAGAGCCAGAGAGAGACTTGAGGATGCTAGCCTTCTGGCTTTGAGGCCGGAGCAGGAAACCACAAGCCAAGGATTGCAGGCCGCCTCCAGAAGCTAGAAATTAAAGAAAATCTTCTACCCTAGGGTCACCGGCAGAGAGCACAGCACACAATCCCATTTCACACCCTGACTTCCACAACAAGACGATATATATATATATCCCAAATTTAACATTGTTTGTGCCACAGGGTTTGTGACGGTCTGTCACAGGCAACACAGGAAAGCAATATACTGGCTTTTGCAAAAACAGGCTCTGGAGCTTGGTGCAGTCATTTGAGAAAGGACAAGTATTTTGTGTGGGGTGGGTAGGTGGGTGAGTTTGGACAGGTGCCACAGTGCGTGTATATATAGAAGTCAGAGGACAGCCTGCAGGAGTTGGTTCTCCTTGTCTCTTACTAGGTGGGTCCTGGGAATTGAACTCAGGCTGTCAGGGTTAGCTGCAAGCACCTCCACCTACTGAGCCATCTCACAGGCCCCTATTAAAGCTCTTCTACATGAGTAAATGGGACTTTCTTTCTGGCTTTATTTTTATTTTCGTTGTTTGATTTTGAGATAGAGTTTTCCTGTGTAACTCAGGTTGGCCTCAAATTCCCTCTGTAGTCTAGGCTAGCCTTAAACTTGTGCTCCGCCAGACTCACCCTCTTGAATTATGGGATACACGTGTGCCCCACCATGCCCAGCCAAACGAAACTATTAAACGCTCTTTCCCCATGGGGGGGTAGGTAGGTGTAGGGATTGAATGACCGCGCTATTCATGTCATCCATTGGCTCAAATCCCAGCCTCCAACAGGGTCTCTTCTAGACCGATGTCCATGTGACTGCCTGGCTGATACAGACATGAAGAGTGAACACTCCCCCAGCGACTCCTAATTCATAATTTTTTTGTTTTTGTTTTTGTTTTTGTTTTTTTGGTTTTCGAGAAAGGGTTTCTCTGTATTGTTTTGGAGGCTGTCCTGGAACTCGAACTTGCTCTGTAGACCAGCCTGGCCTCAAACTCACAGAGATCCGCCTGCCTCTGCCTCCCGAGTGCTGGGATTAAAGGCGTGCGCCACCACCACCCGGGGAAGAAAAGTTTTTTTTGTCTCTCCTGTTTATAGCACATCAGGGACTCCCTCCCCCATTTTCGGTTTTATAAAACTGAGAATTTATGTATGTAGGGAGTTTTTTTAATTAGTCCTCTACCACGGGGTGCCCAGCCCCAGCTGAGAGATCTACAACACACACCCCACACCTAAGGCTCAAGGAAAATTAAAGAGAACGGGAAGGACTAATCCTAAGAGCCCAAGGACCAGGACAGTGTCTTCTATACATGAGAGAGAAGCTGCACCCGGGGGGACCTCAACAACACGGGTGTTGTTAACAATAAGAGCGTAGCATGCTGGGGGGGGGGGATGACACAGGCCCCACTCCCAGATGAGGAGCTACAGGAGACAGGGAGAACCTGTTTGCTCTAAGGATGGGTCCCCGTGGGCTATTCAACCCGAGTGGTCAGCCCCAAACACTTGTAGGAACGGACTCAGTCGGTTGCACGCGTATGTGTAACAATAATGATTAAAGAAGAGGCTCGTAAGAGTTGGAGAGACGGCTCAGTGGTCAGGAGCACTGGCTGCTCTTCCAGGAGGACCTAGGTTCCATTCCCAGCAACCCCATTCTGGCTCCTAATTGCCTGTAATTCCAGTCGCAGGGGGATTCACCGCCCTCTTCTGGCCTCCAAGGACACTGCACACTCATTATGCACATTTATACATGCAGGCAGAACATAGATACACATAAAATAAAATAAAAAAACAGAGTGGGGGAGAAGACATGGGAGACGTTGGACAGGGAGAGGGAGAGTGGAAATGATGTAAATGAGCCCATATATGAAATTCTAAAAAACCCCAATGATGCTGCTGCTGATAATAATAATAATAGGAATTGCCTTATTATTCTTCAAAAATGGCCAGGCAGACTGCAAGGACCTGGCTGTCAGCGCAGAGCTGGCCTGCTGACTACAGGTGGGCACCACCCCAGGGATGCGAGCCTCCCACATAGCAGGGAGGGGAGAGGGGGCAGGAAGGTGCGAGTGAAGTCAACTTAGACCTTAGACACAGAAGGAGAGGCTGTGTCTGGAGGTAGCTTAACGAATTCCTCTCTTGGCCTGGTCCCTCCACCAGGCCATGGGAACTAAGGGAGGCCCATGGGAGGTGGGGGGGAGGGGAGGGGACGCGGGCGGCCAGGAGAGTGAGGTGTCTCTCGAAACTTCTCCCTGATGTCAGATTAGTGCCAAGGCCAGTTCAGCGGCTCGGGGTGGCGCTGATCAGGATGAGCTATCCAAACCGCCCTCATTCTGGTCCCCATCCAGCACCCCGGCAAGCTGCACGCCCACAACCTATGCATGGAGGTGGGCATGCATAGGTTATGTTGGGGTGTCTTGGGGACGGTGGGAGACCCAAGGGGAGCAGAGGGGTTAGGCAAGTCTCCCGCGAAGCGCGACCTCTCTAGAGGTGCCCGCCTGTGCCCGCTTTACCCCAGCACAGCTGGTACCACTGAAACACCGCAGGACTTGAGTTGCAAGGCAGAGGAGGGAGGGAGGGAGGGAGGGAGGGAGGGAGGGAGGGAGGGAGGGAGGGAGGGAGGAGGAGGGAGGGAGGGAGGGAGGGAGGGAGGAGAGAGAGAGAGAGAGAGAGAGAGAGAGAGAGAGAGAGAGAGAGAGAGAGAGAGAGAGAGAGAGAGAGAGAGAGAGAGAGAGAGAGAGAGAGAGAGAGAGAGAGAGAGAGAGAGAGAGAGAGAGAGAGAGAGAGAGAGAGAGAGAGAGAGAGAGAGAGAGAGAGAGAGTTGTGAAGAGAAGCCAGCAAGAGAACAAAGGAGGCTTTGCCTGAGAAGAGAGGGAGGCACCTTCCACTGTGGCCTCGGGGCCTGGGGAAGTGAGTCACACTGGGCCTCCGGGGTGGACCCACCTCTGGGGGGCTCCGTGGGACTGAAAATGCAGCCCAGCTGGCCAGGCACAGACCCTGGGGTGCGGCAAGGGCTGCCTTTGGAGTTTGTTGGGTGGGGTTTTCCCCCAGCTCTCCCCGCCGCCCCCAGGACCTGGTGTGCGTCCAGCCTGGGGGCCTTGGCGACGGTTCTGTGCCTCATTAGGCGCAGCCAAGGCGGGGCCCCTCCGATGCCACTACTGAAGCCGCAGCTGCCCTGGGGCTGTGGGCGTGGTCCCCTCTACCAGCCCTCAGCAGGGACCTGGGTTCCACAGCCCTTTGCAGAGCCGCGCTGCACCCCTGCCAGAGGGAGGCAATCCCTGCCACCCGAAGGTGGCGCCCTCCTCTGTTCCAAGCTGCCCCCTTCCTGTGTCGTCCCCCACCCACCCCACCCCCCGATCCTGGGGATGGGAACTTGGAGATCTCGCTGCACGCCCCAGCTTCTTGCACAATCTTCTCCCAATTATTCTCTGTATAGTGTGTGGTAACAGGGCGAGCATTCCAGGACCTTGTACTTACTCGTACAAATCTGCCTCCTGTTTGTCTGCAGGGCCAGGCGTGTCTCCTTGGGCCCGGGGAAATGGGGGGTGTGTGCTCGCGTCCAAGAGGGCGTGGCCCGCGTCCGCCGCGGGGGCAGCCGCCCAGCCCTGCGCCCAGCCCAGCCCTTGCAGCCTATTTCGTCCCAAACCACAGCCACTTGGGAAGCCCTGGACCCCATCCAAGACCCAGAGGAAGAAGCACTGGTGACATCCTAGTCACAGGCTTCGACCTACATGGCCTGTGTCCTCCTACGGGCAGGACCCGCACTTTCAGACGCCACAGCCTGGCGCGCAGGTCTTTGCCCGTGCAGGCTCTGACTTTGTCCTGAAGTTTTTGTCCCGGTTTGTGATTTTTGTTTTGTTTTGGCATGTTTTCTTTAGTGGAAGCAGGCGGGGGTGGGGGGTCTCACTCTGTAGCCCCAGCTGATCTGAAACTCACTATGTAGCCCAGGCTGGCCTCAAACTCATGGCCACCCTGCCTCATCCTTCCAAGTGCCAGGATGACGGCCTGGTTTGTAATTTTTGTTTAAAGTGGGCCCTAGGAGTCTTCCTCCAGTGACCAACTACTATTCTTTGGGACAGGAAACATTGTTCCCCACAGCCCCAGGGATCACAAGGGGTGGCTGTCACATCTGGCTGTTCTGATGGAAATAAAGACAAAATTCCACAATGGATCCCTCTTCTTGTGTGTTATGCCCACCCCGGCCTGTGAGATCGTTCATGCTACACACACGTGACATCTGGGGTTACCTGTGTTTGGTGACGTGGCAAACTTAGCAACTATAATATGGTCTCTCTCTCTCTCTCTCTCTCTCTCTCTCTCTCTCTCTCTCTCTCTCTCTCTCTCTCTCTCTCTCTCTCTCTTTCGGTTTTTCCAGACAGGGTTTCTCTGTGTGGCTTTGGAGGCTGTCCTGGAACTCTCTCTGTAGACCGAACTCACAGAGATCCGCCTGCCTCGGCCTCCCTAGTGCTGGGATTAAAGGCGTGCGCCGCCACCACCACCCGGCCATAATATGGTTTCTCTTCTGCGTGATTTGACATCACTTCTGATAAAGGAAAGCAAATAATCCATGTGGGTAAACAGGAGTCTTGCCTTAACCTCAGGCCTGATAGTTTCAGACTTTGTTTCCGTAGCTGCTTGACCACGGCGGCTGCCGGCCTGTGGTGAGCTTGGTCTAGGGCCTGCCGTAAGGCACACCTGACAGAGTTGCTCCCCTCTAGACAACTGTTGAACAGAGAGACGGGGAGAGGGGATTCAGGGACAAGATACAGCCTTCAAAGTCACGTCTACGGGGACCTGTTTCCTCTAAGCCATCAGTGGGGTAACCTATTGGTGAAGTTGGTTCCCTGGTGGTTGCATTTTTTTTTTTTTGGGGTTTTTTTCGAGACAGGGTTTCTCTGTGGCTTTGGAGGCTGTCCTGGAACTCGCTCTGTAGACCAGGCTGGTCTCGAACTCACAGAGATCCGCCTGCCTCTGCCTCCCGAGTGCTGGGATTAAAGGCGTGCGCCACCAACGCCCGGCTTGGTGGTTGCATTTTTGGAGCACGGTGCTATCAGTGTCTGGGGGAAACTTCTTGTCTAACCATAAGGGAAGTCATGGAGGCTGAGTTGGAGCAGAGACCCTTCTGGTAACTAATGTCCAACAGCACCTTTTCAAGCTATGGTTGAATGGCTAACCTCAAACAACATAAATTTAGCACGTCCTTCCTCTGGGGCCAGAGATAGGGATAGGCACACAGGAGACCTGTGTTTTCGGTGGATAATCAGTGAGTGACAGACACCTACACCCGGACTCACATCCCCAGAGTAGCCCTTTCTTGGGTGTGAGGACTTGTTTCAGATCAGCGGCTCTGAGGTTTGGGGGGTGTTTGCTAAGCATCGATGCTGTGGGAAAACAGCCGCTATCCAGGGCTCCCAAATCTAAGGGGGTAATTTAGGCTGAAGGTAGCTGGGGTACGGGTGGGGATGCTTCACTGTGACATAAAAAAAGTAGAGTTCCCATCTTGGCAAGAAAAGCATGGCAGCAGGAGTGGGCGTGGCTTCTTCTCACATCCAGCTGCATCAGGAAGCAGAGTTTGCCTCCAACTGTGTCTCCCCCTCCAGTGACCCTCTCCTCCCAGCCAGCCACCCCCACCTCCTCAAAGTTTCACAGCCTCCCCAAACGTCATCACCAAGTGTTCAAACACGTGAGCCTGTGTGTGGGTGTGTGGGGGGGTGTTTCGCAGCCAAATCACACAACAGGGAACACACGGCCACACTGGGGTCCAAGGGTTCGAGTCTCACTTTTTCTGAGAGTTCACAGGGTCATGAGGGTGATGACTGAGCCACCAAACTGTAAGGTCCTGAGAGAGAGAGAGACAGACAGACAGACAGACAGAGAGAGACAGACAGACAGAGAGAGAGACAGACAGACAGACAGAGAAACAGAGAGACAGAGACAGAGAGAGACAGACAGACAGACAGAGAGAGAGAGACAGACAGACAGACAGACAGAGAAACAGAGAGACAGAGAGAGAGACAGACAGACAGACAGAGACAGACAGACAGACAGAGAGAGACAGAGACAGACAGACAGACAGAGACAGACAGACAGACAGAGACAGACAGACAGAGAGAGGAAGAGGAAGAGGGAAGAGAGTGAAAGAGACAAAGAGAGAGACAGAGACAGAGACAGACAGAGAGAGACAGACAGACAGACAGAGACAGAGACAGAGAGAAACAGAGAGACAGAGACAGAGAGAGACAGAGAGACAGAGACAGAGAGAGAAACAGAGAGACAGAGAGAGAAACAGAGAGACACACACAGAGAGGAAGACAGAGACAGAGACAGTTACAGAGAAACAGAGAGAGACAGAGACAAAGACAGAGAGAGAGACAGAGAGAGAGACAGACAGAGAGAGACAGAGAGAGATACAGACAGACAGACAGAGAAACAGAGAGAGACAGAGAGACAGAGACAGAGACAGAGAGAAACAGAGAGACAGAGACAGAGACAGAGAGAGAAAGACAGTCAGAGAGAGACAGAGAGAGACAGAGAGAGAGAGAGAGACAGAGAGAGACAGAGAGAGACAGAGAGAGAAAGACAGACAGAGAGAGACAGAGAGAGACAGAGACAGAGAGAGAGAGAGAGAGAGATGAAATGCCCAGGCAGCTCTCTTTCTTTGACCGAAAATCCTTTGGGTTTGTGTTCCTTTTAGGCCACCGTCGAAAATGCTGACACTTCCTAGAGAACTGCGGTGCTAACCTTGCTCCTGGCAGCAAGCTGCCCTGAGATGTCAACAGCACCTCTACCTTTGTCTTGTCCCACACAGGTCATGCCCTGAGTCCTCCAGAGCACCGGAGTCACTACAGTGCATCGCCAGGACGTCTTTCTAGCAAAAAAAGACATTCTGGCTGGAGCAGGTTTAGCAGTTTTAATCTAAATGCAGCCGGTACCGCAAGGACAGCGTTCTCCGAGTAGGTGCCCTTGACTCTCTTCCTCAGATCCGGGTGGAGTTCCCAAATACAGCAGGGAAATTGTCTTGGGGTTCCCGCTGGATGCTAAAGCTTTTTCTTTGAAGGTTTCCTTGGATGCTAACGACAAGCCTCCGCTGGCTAGCGAGAAACCTTGGGCCCCGCAAAAGGCCAGAGCAGCGGCCTTTGATGAGCAGATAGTAAAACCGTCCCTTACCAGAAGTGGCGGCACATGCCTGTAATCCCAGCACCTAGGAGGCTAAGGAGAGAAGAGTTTGAGGCTAACCTGGGCTACTGAGTGAGACCCTGTCTCAAGGGGGGAAAAACATCTTTCTTTTCTTTATTTTTTTTAACTTAGTTTCATTTTTTTAAAATGTAGACCAGGCTGGCTTTGAACTCAGACACCTGCCTGCCTTTACCCGGCCCCCCAGCACTGAGATTAATGGCATGTGCAACTACCCTGAGTTCATCCCTCTGTGGTTGGCAGTTACAGTTCCTCCCCAACCCCTCACCTCTCTCTCAGCAAGTCTTTCTGTATACCCCCCCTCCACCCCGCACTGGCCTAGAACTTGGAAATGTAGACCAGGCTGGCCAAGAGCTCACAGAGAGATCCGCCTGCCTCTGCCTCTGGGCGCTGGGATTAAAGGCATGCGCCACCTGGCCCTTTCACGAATTTTAAGGACATCCATCTGCAGATGACTTGTGGCAGTGAACAGTCTCACCTTTGACCCTGTGTGGTAACCACGACCTTTCAATGGTTCCGAGCCTCAGCCCATCCTAAGAGGGGCTGGGGGACTCCCGAGCCCTCTCTCTACCTGGAATCACTGGCTTTGCAGGGTTGAGGGGGCAGAAAGGAAGGTTGTCATGTCCTTGTCACACGTGGCACAAGACTTGTGTGACCGTTATTTTTAATTGCCAACTTGACACAGTCTAGAACCACGGTGAGGGGGGGGGAATCTCAATGCGAGGAATATTCTAGCTTGGGTCGCCCTGCGGGCATGCCTATAAAGGACTTTCTTCGTCAGCTTAATTGGAGAGGGGAGATCCATCTTCTATGTGGGGGACACTGTCTCTAGAACGGGGCCCTGGTCTGCGATGGTGGATTTAATTTAGGTCCTGGCTGCCGTGGCTTCCCCGCCACAAGGGGCTGTGATCTTTTGACCTTGATGCATGTATCAAGAATATTTTATCCCAGCACCAGAAGACGCAAGACAGCTGGTACCCTGTGTCTGCTGGAGCTTGGCAGCTGAACAGCTTTGCCCAAGCCCTTTGACGTTAGCTCAAGTTGTGACCACCATGGTGTGCTCAGCCAAAATGGCGGGTTCCAGACTCGCAGGCGGCTGTTCTCACCTCTGGTGATGCCTGTGTACGTGTCCCACCTTGTCACTTAGTTAGTGGATGAGAAATTAAAATAAGAGGAGGACGACATGACCACTCCTAAAGTATGGTAAAGATTTTTATTGTAGAGAAAAGAGAGAAAGCAGGCAGACGGGAGAGGAGAGCCCAGGCTGAACATGGCGGCAGGGGTGGGGGGTGGGGGGTTGGGGGGTGCTAGCCGCCAGGAGACTGCTGTGGCCAAATGCCTGAGTTATATAGGGACCAGGGTGAAGGGAGTAGATGCCCAGTCCCTGGGACCCTGGGGGGGGGGGAGATTTAGGGTGGGGTGAAAGTGCTGGGTGCAGCCAGTGATACTTGTCCTGGGGTCTCTTGGGACTCCACAGGAGATATCTCCATCCTATGTGGCCTGGAGTATCCTTCTGGGCCACTGCAAGTATTTACCTGTCTCCGGGGTCCAGGGAGGGACAGAGCGATGAGTTGGGACCATCTGGACGGACGGACACCTCCAAGGAACACAGGGAAGGGATGGAGGCTCTGTTGAGGGCCAAGCTCGACTTGAGGCTTTTCTTGGTTGAGGGCTTGGTGGGGTCTGGATCCCTGGCACTCAAAGGCTTTTTCTCACTCCCCGGGGGTGACTAGGCTCACATTGGCCATCACTTCACTCATCACTGTGGCCTGACAGAAACAACCTCAAGAAAGGATTGACTTGGGCTCACGGTGGGTACAGCCCACCACGGCCAGAATGGCATGGCAGCTGGGGCAGTGGGAGTCACAACGTGGCGAGGCACCACGCCATCAAAGTATCAACGCTCCACCGGCCTTCCCGAACTGCAACCAGCCAGGATCAAGCATTCGACTGCTTTGTGGGAAACCCTTCCTAACCGCACCTTCCATGGGCATAAAAACACTCGGCAGTGCCCGTACCCTGAGACCAGGCAGTGACATCTGCCAGCAGGACACACGCTGGGTATTGGCAGACTACCGGAGCCTGACTCTCACCAGGATCCTCAGGTCAGGAGTCCCGGCATTTGAACACGAAATCCATAGTCAAGGTTCTGTAGAACCCAAGTCTTCCAGCAGCTGCCTCAAGAGCGCTGAAAACATTGTACTGGAGTTGTCATTTATACGGCAATCCTTTACTGTCTCTGAGGAACACAATCAAGTAAGTAATAGCTTAAAAGAAAAAAAAATCCAGCTGGGCATTGGCGGCGCACGCCTGTAATCCCAGCACTCGGGAGGCAGAGGCAGGCGAATCTCTGTGAGTTCGAGGCCGGCCTGGTCTACAGAGCAAGTTCCAGGACAGCCTCCAAAACAATACAGAGAAACCCTGTCTCTAAAAACCAAAAAGAAAACAAACAAAACAAAATCAAATCAAAAACACTTTCCAAAAGATATTATTAATGTGTGATCTGGCTTTGAGCTCATGAACGGGACAGTAGCTTTCCCTGGCACTAGGCTGGCAGAGGTTTGGGAGTTAGCATAGTCCCAGCTCTGTCTGTCTAGTTGCTTATGAAGAATGATGAGTTTTGAGGTTTACAGAGAGGTAAAAATAGTGCTGGTATTTCATGGACAGATGCAAGATGCTCACTCTGGGCTTTAAGGAGAGGGTGTATGTCAATCATTAGGAGGATGATTTTCTTTTCTTATTTTTCCAATCTCTCTACGTAACAGTCCTGGCTGTCTGTCTTGGAACTCACTCTGTAAATCAGGGTGGCCTTGAACTCAAGAGATCCACCTGCCTCTGCCTCCTGAGTGTTGGAATTAAAGGCGTGTGCCACCACCACCCAGCCCTCTTCTATCTTTAAGACTGGGTCTCACCAAATTGCCTAGGCTGGCCTTGAATTTGTAATCCTCCTGCCCTAGTCTCCCAAGTAGCTAGAGTTACAGGCCTGTGTACAATTATGCTTCTTTTTTTTTTTTCCAGACAGGGTTTCTCTGTGGCTTTGGAGGCTGTCCTGGAACTCCCTTGGTAGTCCAGGCTGGTCTCGAACTCACAGAGATCCGCCTGCCTCTGCCTCCCGAGTGCTGGGATTAAAGGCATGCGCATTACGCTTCTTGACTAGGTAGGGGAGGGATGGTCTTGAACTTCTGACCTTCCTGCCTCCCCCTTCCAACTGCTGGGATTTCAGGAGTGTCCACCATGCCCTGCTGCGGCTTCTTGCACAAAGAAGCTGGCTTGAAAGTACTGGAGGGCCGGGCGTTGGTGGCGCACGCCTTTAATCCCAGCACTCAGGAGGCAGAGGCAGGTGGATCTCTGTGAGTTCGAGGCCAGCCTGGTCTACAGAACGAATTCCAGGACAGCCTCCAAAGCCATAGAGAAACCCTGTCTCGAAAAACCAAAAAAAAAAAAAAGAAAGTACTGGAGGACCTCCACCTATAAGGACCCACGCTAGCCATTATGCTAGAGGAAAAAAAAAATCCATGCACACACACACACAGCATTGGGTGTTTCCACAAGACTTCCTTGTAACAAACACAACCCTTCCCACTCCTCTCAGATGCCTGCCTGATGCCCAGATGCAGATGTACCAGCAGCAGGCACCCTGCTCAGCAGAGAAGCCTAACGGGTTTGTCCAGCAAATGAGATTGTACTCTGGGATGGCGTCTCTGTGGCCTGTGCTCCCAAGCTCCGAGGCAGACAGAGGCTGGTGGCCTTAGGCTGGCTTATGAAATGAGTCCTCGTGGGCTTGAGCATCCAGGGCTTTGAGTAAAAAATTTAAAAAGCTCATTAAAATTAGAGGCCTATATGACATGTTCAGACTCCTACCCTGGAAAGGGACATAAATGGGATTCCCTGGCTGCGAAGCCTCTGTCCCTTGGCTGGCCTGAGACATTCTGCGTCACCTCATACCACTGTGTGTTGGGGATTAAAAGAGAATGAGTTCGATACAGCAAAAAGTTGCAATCCCAGGATTTGGGACTCTCGGGTTAGTCTGGAGGACACAGTGAGTTCCACTAAGTTTTTGGAAGGAAAAAAAAAAAAAAAAAGACGGGGAGGAGCATGACATCAACTCAGCTCCAACTAAAATACCATGAGAAAAACCCCAAACATTCAAGCCTAGTCTCAAACCCCTCAGAAAACTGCTTACCTCTCTCTGCTTTGCATCTGGTTAGGGGCTAAGAACCAGGGTGCAGAATCTGCAGCCCCAAGGTGACCCACTGAAGTAATGCAAACTCCCAAATGAATAAACGGCAGCAAGCTTGTGACCATGCACCTCCCGCCAACGGCCGCTCCTCCCTCCCTCCCTCCTTCCGAACCCAGGAAGGAAACCGCCCCCAGCCCCACGCCTCTCTGCCCCACTGCCCCCCAGCCCCACGCCTCTCTGCCCCGCTGCCCCCAGCCCCACGCCTCTCTGCCCCATGCCTCTGCGCCCCAAGTTAAGTGTGGGAACGGAGCTGTAGCTTTTACACAGGACGGAGCCTCAGTCTTCTGCTTTATAGCGTTCTTTATGGCATGAACCCGGAACGCGATGTGTTTACACACACACACACACACACAAAACAATTGTACATCTTTACAATATTAAAGGAGTCATATACAAGTCTACAGGCATTATACAAGAGGGGGTGCCGGCCAGGGCGCCCCCTCCATCAGTTCTCTGCAGTCCCTCCACGTGGGAGGAGCTAGGGGAGATGTGACAAGGTCAGGGTGTCCATCTTTTGGGCCTGTTGTCTGAGAGACAGCAGGTCTGCGAGGCCCAGTCCTTGTTGGAGTTGGGGGGAGGTTAAGAGCTCTGGGTACGATTGGGTCTATGCCTTACTGACAGGCTAGTTTAGTACATTTCATTAAAACTCCACGGGTGTGGGAAAACTGGAGGGTGGCTCCCTGAGCTGGGGACCCAGAGATTGACGGTGACAGATGGGTCCCTTGGTAGGAGGGCCCATTCCTGAGGTAAGCTGTGGCCCCATGCTGACTGGATGGGTGGAGACTTCTCCGAGAACCCACAGATGTGAACCCAGCCAGTTAGGATTGGAAGCTCCTGGGCATTGGCAGGTCAGGTGCGCACCAGAAGTACAGCCTGGCCTCGGGGGGCAGCAGAGTGTCTCAGGGAAAAAGCCAGAGTCACTTAAGCCCCCATTGCCCTCCCCCCGGCTGCCCTGCCCCTTGGGGGGGGGCTGTTCCATCTCTGGCGGCACCACCGCCAGCCACATCTGCCCCCACAGCCCCAGCTCAACAGGCACCCGGGCCCGAATGCCCGCAGCCCCATCCTTTGCAAGGTCCGCTCAATACTGAACCGGGAACTGAGCACCAGGTAAGAGCAGCGACGGTTCATGTTGGCCTTGCGGACCCGTGCAGCGACAGTTAGTTTGTGTTTTAAATACTGTAGAAAAATAAGCCATCTCCGACGCGAGGAGGTCCGCCGACATCCGCCGAGCGTGCTCTGGAGTGGCTGGCCCTGCAGAGCTCCGCCGTACGGGGCTGAGGAGCAGAAGGACCGGAAGCCCGGCGTCTCTGGGTCACGTTAACTGCCCTTCCACGGGCATGCCCCTGGCATCCCTCATCCTGTTGCCATGGCGCTTTGCGCTCCCAGGGATGAGCTCAGACCCTCCGGTCCCTAGCCCCAGTCTGGTGCCCGGCATGAAGCACAAACAGGCAGGACTCCTCAGCACTCTTTCCATGTCCCTGGGGTTGCCCCAGGACTGAGTGGGGGGTCTCGGGTTGGCCCCGACGAAGCAGGGCCTAGTCCAGGGGTTCTTGCTTTATCCGGACGGCAGTCGGGGTGGGCTGTGGTCGCCGCTCCTCCCGGCAAAGCACGTACTCGCTGAACTGGGAGGAGTCCACGCCGCCCCCGCAGGAGGCGGCCACGCTGAACCCCCTTTGAAACAGCCTTTCTAGGACCTGCAGAGGAAGAAAGGAGGGGTCAGCAGCGCCCAGCTGCCGGAGTCTGCCCGGCCTGGTGGGCGGCTGGGTGCCGGGCAAAGCGAGCTACCTGCTGATGGGTTTTAGAGTCAGCCGCATCACCAGCTGGATCCTACCCTAGGCGGGAAAGGTGCAGGCAGGCCTCAACTTATCCAGCCACGGTGGGCCTCTGCTATCCCACCCAGGCTACTCCCTCCAACCCTCAGGGTGCATACAGGAACTAGGGAAGCAAAACTGGGGAAGCAAAAGGGGCCTTTGGGGTCCTTTCGCTGTTATCTAGGGTGCAACCTACCCATCTATACACACGTGGGCACACACACACACACACGCATACACACACACATGGCCCCAGGCACCCCCTCTACACACACACACACACACACACACACACACACACACACACACACACACACACACACACACACACACGGCCTCAGGCACCCCCTCTCTCAATCTCCTGCTCCAATAATGGAAAGCCCCTGTCCCCAGCCTCAGGGCAGCCACCTGCTTCCTGGAGCTGAGTCCCAGATGGTCTGAGGCCCGAGGGCTCATCAGCTCAAAGAGTTCTAGGTGGAGGGAAAAGAGGGGGAGTCCTTTGTGTGTGTGTGTGTGTGTGTGTGTGTGTGTGTGTGTGTGTGTGTGTGTGTGCCTTTGTAGGCCTACATGGCCTCCTGGTTTATGTCTCTGGGAAGGTGTGTGGGGGGGTGGCTAGTCCTACATCTGTGTCCTGCAAATAGTAACATCTTGCTCAGAGCCTGCGGGAAGTGGGGGGCTTTCCCCCAAAGGGTCCCTTCTGTCCTAACCCCAAAATATGAGTGTCTCTGAGTTCAGGGGAAAAGCTTGCAGAAACAGGGAGCTAAGGCAGGAGGAGCCAAAGTTTGCAAGCGGCCTGGGTTACACGGAAGACCCTGTCTCAAAAAGAAAAGAAGTGCTCTAGGCAGCTGTGGGCCCCAGGGCCGGGCCTCATGGGAAAGCCTTTCCTGGTGCCTGGGTTTAATTTGAATCCAAAGTCAGCCTCTGCATGTTAAATGAAGCATGTTCAGTTGAAAATACTCTGGGCCTTTTTTTTTATTTTATTTTATAGAACATCCTTTTAGGGGGAAAAAGGAAAGTACAGATCAATTTTTTTAAGTCCATCCCCCAGGCACCATCATTTAATTATGAGCAAGGCATAAATTATGCATCGGCACATTGTTGCCTTTTCCGTTTGGGGTTTTGGTCCATTCCATTCCGGGACTGTCTCCCTCCACCTCCCTCTGCGTCCCCGGGGCCTCTGGGGAGGCGAGCGCGCGGGCGGGCCCTCACCTGCACAGAGTTGAGCCGACAATAGCCGTTGAGGGGGAACCGGATGACGTGCGTGGGGTCCTGGTTCCAGCCGGCGTTGACGGAGTTGCACATGACATCCCCGGTCTCGGGGAAGACCTCCTCAATGAGGGCTTTCTCACCGCTGAGCGCAATGCGTTCTCCCAGGTCGGGGGTGACGCGGACCACCAGGCAGTCACAGGCCCGGCTCCGTCGCCTCTGCTCTTGCTCTTGCTGCCAGCGCTCCAGCTCCCGAACCATGGGCTGCAGCTGGTAGTACCGCGCCTCCTCGTACAGCAGGTTGAAGTCCTGCGGACGCACGCACAGCGTCAGGGAAGCAGGGGGCAGTCCCGTCTGGGATGCTCATCCTATCTCCAGCGGGGGACCCGCCCCCTTTTCCCCTCTTCACAGACAGCTTAACAAACTTCAATGCGGGCTAGGAAGGCCATTTCCACCGCAGAGACGAGCAAAGATCCCAACGCGTGTGCCCCGGACGTACAGAATATAAAGCAGTCTGCTGAGACTGACTCCCTTCCTGGACCTTCAACCGGACCGCAAACACAAGCGTCATAGAAAGAGCCGGAAGCTGCTGGTGGCAGCACGCCTTTAGTCCCAGCACCGGGGAGGCAGAGGCAGGAGGATCTCCGTGAGTTCGAGGTCAGCCTGGTCTACAGAGCGAGTTCCGGGACAGCCCGGGCCACACAGGAGATGGGTATATGTTCCCAAAGGGGACCTTGGCGGAATGCATTTTCACCACAAGGGGTTACACGCCTAATACTGACCTCCCTGAGTCAGCTCGCCCTCTCTCTACAGTGAGTATAATAAACACCCCTGAGAAGCAGAGGGAAGAATAAAGGACAGGAGATCTGCCAAGCGTCTGCCCCTGCCCAAGCAGGCAGAGAATATGACCAGGTCCCCGGGAATGATGGTCCCGAGGCAAGGTCCTCACCAAACAGCCCATTCACAAAACTGTCCCCTCAGACACTGATAACTAGACCTGAGTTCACCAATTTTTTTTTTTTTTTTGGTTTTTCTAGACAGGGTTTCTCTGTATTGTTTTGGAGGCTGTCCTGGAACTCACTCAGTAGACCAGGCTGACCTCAAACTCACAGAGATCCGCCTGCCTCTGCCTCCCGAGTGCTGGGACTAAAGGTGTGCACCACCAACGCCAGGCTGCGTTCACCAATTCTTGAGTGGCCTACACCCACGACTCGCGCCACTCAGTGGTGACTGACATCCCAGGGGAAAGGCAAGCGAGATAAACTCCCACAGCACAGCCCACCCTGACCCCCAGCGTGTTTCTCCTCGTTGGGCCCAGAGGCCCAGAATCCCCTCGTCTAGGCCCATCACGAGCTGCGTGACCCCGGCCTGCTTTTCCATAGAAGACTCACAGGTCTGTTCTCCCAGCTCTCACCCCGGCCCTTAAGGGTTTTTATATGACACCTTTATGCCAACTCTTTCCCCAAGCCTAGGATGTTCAGGGCTGAAGCTTCCAGCTGGACACACCCTCCAGCACCCCCTGACCCAACAGCCCACACTAACAGCCTTGGTACCCTTGCCCTCAAATGTCACTCTCCCTACTCCCAGCAAACCCAGAGACACAGCGACATAGCTGGCCTGTCCCCACTCCTGCTCCCTGCATCTCCGACAGCAGAGCCAATGGGGTCCTCCCCGTTTGCAAGCCTGATACTCTTCCCCACCAAGATCCAGGCCTCCCCAGCAGCCTCCCCATCCCCCTCCCTTCCTGGTTCCCAACGATCTAGCTTGACACTTTCTGTTAAACCCACCAGGGGCCAGGTTCCCCATCTTTCCACTTTCGTTTGTTTCCGCTTCCTTGTTTTGAGTCATGCAGCCCTGGGCTGGGCTGGCACTCTCTCTACAGACCGGGCTGGCCTCAGACTCACAAAGACTAGGCAGCCCTCACCTCCCAAGTGCTGAAATTAAAGGCGTGCGGCATCCCTGCTGCTGACTTTCTCTAGATAGCGTCTTACTCTGTGGGCCACTCTAGCCTAGAACGCGCAGCAATCCCCCCCTGCCTCCATCTCGGAAGGCCTGCCTGGGACAAAGCGTGTGTCTGGTGGGACCCACCACCCCAGACACGAAACAGTTTTCTGAAGCACTGGCTCCGCGCAATTGAGACCAAACCTCTGTTTTCTAGACCGGAAGGGGCAAGCAAAGTCTATGGCTTCCTTCTGTGTAAAGAAGCTCTATTTTAAGGCCCAAATTCGGTCGCCGCCGTTTAGTAACTAGGCTGGATGAAAAAGGGCCCCGGGCCGGGCGTTGGTGGCTCATGCCTTTAATCCCAGCACTCGGGAGGCAGAGGCAGGCGGATCTCTGTGAGTTCGAGGCCAGCCTGATCTACAGAGCGAGTTCCAGCAGGACAGCCTCCAAAAAAAAAAGGGCCCCGGGGCTGCTGGTGCAGCAGCCGCTGCAGGAAACCCTCAAAGCAAGGAAGCACACAGACAGACAGACAGACACATTCGCCAGCAAGAGGCAGGACCACAGGGAACCAGATCAGCCACCTAAGACAAGTTCATCCTGAGTCCTGGGAGTAAAGGGGGGCCACCTAGCTCTCAGGGGTCTCCCCACTGCCAACTGCAACAAGGGACAGACAGACACATGGACCTCTAACCCCTTAAAACTCAACTAACATCAACCTGGGGTAAAGTGCCAAAGCTTAACTGCTGTTACATCCTGGTAAATGCGCCCAAGATGTTTAAGAAAGCAAAATGAGTTTAGAAAAACTGATCTAGCCGGGTGTTAGTGGCGCACGCCTTTAATCCCAGCACTCGGGAGGCAGAGGCAGGCGGATCTCTGTGAGTTCGAGACCAGCCTGGACTACCAAGTGAGTTCCAGGACAGCCTCCAAAGCCACAGAGAAACCCCGTCTCGAAAAACCAAAAAAAAAAAAAAAAAAAAGAAAAAAGAAAAAAAGAAAAACTGATCTAGCCCTCCGCTTCATCGGTTAACTTTTGGTGGTCACCATGACAACCGTGGGTCCGTTTATTAAGTCACAGCGTCCCCCTGCCTCACGCCACGACGCAGGCAGTGCAGGGAGGGGGGTGCTGCTGGCTCCGGACTTACCTTGAAGTCATCTGGAAGCAGCAGTTTTGACGTCCGCAAGAAACTCAGGATGTAGCGGAAAATCTCCCCATCCCGGTCGATGAAATAATGTTGCTTGAGACTGTCTAGAACAATGGGTTCTGTGCCGTTGAAGAGGCGGCTTATTCTGGGAGAGACGGGCAAGTTGGGATATGGTCAGCGGGGTAGGGTTGAGCTTCACCTGCCCTACATCCCCACCCCTGAGAACTCACTCATCTGGAGGGGCAAGAGGTCACCCTCAGAGACCTCTATGGGTAACTTGGAGACCCTGCCCATCCTGACAATTGTCAGCTGCCCTCACAGACACAGGACACTAGGGCAGCCGTGGCACGGGCTCCAACCACATTCATGAGCTGTTAGCCAGCTAAGCGACATACCCAGCTGTGTCTGACGGCCCACTGACACATATCACAGGCCTGGAGAGTCACACACAGCAAGACACATTAAACCAGCTGGCCCAAGCTGAACACACACCCAGGGCCGAAAGATGAGCCCAGAAAACACACGTCGACCACCCAGCACGGCAGCTCCCCGTCAAGACACCTGCTAAAAACGTATGTCGAGCCACCTAAGTCCCTGGGGACACACACCTCCTCACCCAAGCCACAACACCAACATCAAACACCGTCGCGTGCAGCCAATAGGCCCAGGATCACAGTCTCAGGCAGCGACACTCACCGGTTAACACAAGCAAGCGACTCAGAGACATGAAGTCACCAGTGCCCTGTAACTGTCTCGCTTAAGGCGCCACAGGGGAGAGACGGGTGCGGGGGGGGGCACGGCCCCGCGTGTGCTTGCATATAGACTGCAGCACGCATGCTAACCCCAGAGCACGTGAGCACGAGGCCCAAGCGCTGGACAGGTATTCATATATACCACGAGTGGACATCTGGTGAGAGGCTGGGATTGGAAAGGACCCGGTGCCTAGAAAGACACAGGAGACCTCGGGAGAGCCCTGATGCCTCTCACTGTCCATTTCATGGCAGGGAAAGTGTGGCCTTAGGCCTAGGCTACTGCCCCCCTAACGTACACAGTGGCGGGTGTGTGTGTGTCTGTCTGTGTGTGTGTGTGTGTGTGTGTGTGTGTGTGTGTGTGTGTGTGTGTGTGTGTGTGTGTGTGTGTGTCTGATTTGGCTAACTGCTCAGCAGATCTCAAAGTCTAAGCTAGATAACTAGGAGCCCCAAAGCCAGCTGGGCACAGCTAAGATCTTCCCTTGGGAGCAGAAGGGAGGTGAGCAGTGTTCTTCAGTGATTGGCTGACTTGGAGCCTGGGAGAATTGTTCCTAAGAACGCCTTGGAGGCCAGGCGGTGGTGGCGCATGCCTTTAACTACAGAACTTGGGGAGGCAGACACAGGCGGATCTCTGTGATTTCGAGGCCAGCCTGGTCTACAAAGCCAGTTCCAGGACAGCCAGAGCTATTACAGAGAGAAACCCTGTCTTGAAAAACCAAAAACCAAACCAAACAAAAACAAACCCAAGCCTTGGAGAACCAGGGAATTAGGGGACAAGGGGACGTTACTGGCTTGGCCTACACCAACCACCCTGACCCCTCCCAGAGTCCTCTTCTATTCTGTTCCTACAGCCACCCACACACTGCTTAGACCAACTCAGTCACACCCAAGTCACAGCCATGTGTGACCAGACCATGCCAGTTGCCGGAGCCGAGAGGTTCAGAGCCCCCAGTGCCCTTCCGAGGTACGCCCAATCCACACAGCCCCATGCTCCGGTGGCCGAGCAGTCACTTGCTCTCATTCTGGGGACAGACACGGCCCAGCCTGTCCCAAGGGGGCAGTAGGAAGGGCACGGTTGCCTGGTGGGTGCGAGTGAGCAGGTCAGAACCTGCGTGTTAAGAGGTGTGGAGGCCCGGGCCTGAAGAACCAGAGGTACAGCTGACAAATATAAATCCTGAGGGCTCCAGAGGCTGCTGGTGACAATGTCCTCCTCCGGACACAGGGAAGGGCAGTGCCAAGGGCCCGCATATTCATTCTCCCTCCCTCCCTCCCTCCCTCCCTCCCTCCCTCCCTCCCTCCCTCCCTCCCTCCCTCCCTCCCTCCCTCCCTCCCTCCCTCTCTCTCTCTCTGCCTGGCCTGGTGACCCTGATGCAAACCCTTGTGAGTTCTGCAGCTCCTCTGAGACCCGGCCCTGCAACACTTCAACATTTAGCTGTGGGGGGATGTGGGGGCACCCAGAATCCCTGGGCGCGGATGTGAATGAGCCACGGTATCAAGGGCCAGGGCAAACAGCCGAGAGTCCAAACCGGGCTCTGGTAAGGAAGAGGTCAGAGGCAGGCAGGCAGGCTCGCGCACAGGTGAGTCAGCAAATTTACACCTCAGCCTTCCTGGGAACGCGTTCCACCCTCCCCCGGCAGAGCGCAAGCGTTCTGTTCTGTGAACCCGGGTCTGGCTGGGCTCCAAGCTGCTCTGATGTTAAGAGTTTGGCGGAGGCTCCCGAGCGAGCGTCTGTCCTGTCCGTCTAGAGGATTCCCAGTCCACCCACAGCCCCAAGGCTGGCAGGGTTCTAGGCTGTCTACTGAGCCAAGACAAGCAGGTTCTAGATCCTTCTGAGGGTTTGGTGTCTGTTCCGGGACTAATGGCAACAGGGCGCCTCCTCTTAGGGCAGAGGCCAAAGCCTTACCGTGGATATGGGGAAGGCTGGCGAGATATTTTGGACAGTCACCACAAGGGGACCCTTAGCATTTCACAGGGTCTCACGAGCAAGCTCCTGAGCTCTGCTGGTGGCTTCACGTGCCTCTGTGGGGACATTCCGAGACCGGCCCTTTCGAGGGAGTAACTTCAAGGGGTCCTCTGTGGAATAAGCTGGTGAGCTCACTTTGGCGGCTGGGACCTCTGCACCATCCAGCCACTTGCCCTGAGTATAAAGGGCGCCAACATATTGCCTTTTAGAGTGGCTCCCGGGGAGGTTTAGTGCACAGGGTTATTGGCTCCGAAGCCTCATGCCCCTGTGCCAGCATGGGACGGTGTCAGCAGCAGCTAAGTGACCAACCAGTCAGCGGGACACAGGGAGAGGCAGACCATGAGTCTGCCATTTGCTCGGGTTGAACCAGAGGAGGCACCGGCACCAGGCCCGCAGGGTCTAGGCCACCCCGTCAGCCAGAGGTTACTAGGAGCTCAGAGATGCCAGGCAAGGGTCCCCCGACTCCTGCAGTACTTCCCAGGCTGGGACACTGCTGGCATCCAGAGCTGTCTCCGTGGGTAACCATCAGTGGCACATCTTTTCCAGAACTGTAATATGCCGAGGGGACCCGACGGGGCATTTTCCACACATAACAGCTCTGGCGTGCCTCACGGCCTCTTGTCTTTACTGTGCCACAGGCCTCAGCTTCAGGCCTGGCAAACAGCCCTGAGGAACCAGAATTATCTCGGCAGAGTGACGCATTCACCCTGAGCCCAGCTCTGGTAAGGCGCGCGGCAGACCCTCTAGGCATACCCAGGCCCAGGAGATGCCACATCGCAGGTCCAAGTCCTCAGCTCCCCAGAGGAAGAAAGAGCATGCCCACACTGCACAACAGGGAAGGAAAACGTTCCTCAGTCCCCAAAAGCCACCAGAGACAAGCGTGTGAAGGGAGCCCGCTCCCTGACCACCTGGGCCTGGGTGGTGACGGCCACAGGAAGGCAAATGTCCGATTTCAGGAAGGTTGCGGGCAGGGATTTTTTTCTTATGAGTCTCACTCACAAACACCGTCAGCCGATTAAGGGTTGATCTATCTCACACAACTCGGGAACGCCGCAGAAGGCAAAACTGAAATTAAATGAAGAGAATCCGTCTCCTCGCCTAGGCAGGGCTCCTGAAGCAAACAGGCGGCCCAGGCCGTACAGAGCCTCACGGCCCCCGCCTTACCAACGCTGCACGTTCACAAAGACCCTGAACCAGGCACAAAATCTACTTCCAGCATCCCCCCTTTCTCCAGGGCGCTCCTCTAAAGATGAGGGCTCTGCCCCAGACACCTCTGCACACCGAAATCCTCTAGGCTCTGAGTGGCCACCCTGGTGATGAGGCCCTCGGTGTCTTGGGGATTAATTAATTTCTATTCTTATTGTAAATAAAAGACAGGCGATGCCTGACAGGCCTGCCCTCCTGCTGGCCAATGGTGCTTTCCGCCAGTCGGTGCCAGGGGCAAGCAGCGGTGGGCCCAGCAAGCTGCCCGCAGTGTCACCTGTAGGGGACAGGCACAGAGACATAGGCCACACCCCCATCAGTCTTGCCGCCAGCTGCTGGGCCAAGGTGCGTCTTTGGGAAGTAAATCCACGAGACGCTAAGAGCAAGCGGGTACTCAGTGCCACCCCGCTAAGGGTCCCTCCCGGGGACGAGTCTGAAAGTCCCCAGTCAGGGTCCTGGTCACAGACAGTTCCATACATTACAAGGCATTAAACTCATGCTCGACCACTGTCAAAAATATCCCCGACTTGTCCTGCGATTTCCAACTCATTGCTACAACATCCAGCTCCAAAGGAAAGCTTGTCCCTAGTACCCCAGGTCAAACGGTGTCCACCCAATAGAGGAGCTGGTACTCCATTCCTTTATCCCAAGGGTAAGGGCAGGAAACAGCACTGCCCACGCCCACCCTCACCTGACCCCCGAGTGTCACTCTGTTGAGGCTCCCCAGCCAGCTGCTGGCCAGGCTCACGTGGGACCGTGTCTTTAAAGGTCAGGAACCCCAATGTTATATACCACGAAGGCTACTAACGTAGGGTCAAAAGCCCCAGTCAGGGGCGACCCTCAACAGCAAGCCATCTCTCAAACCCTCGGGAGCATCAGGGAGCGACCGACCTTGGTGTAGTAAGTACCCTACGACCACCACAGGCCTGACACTGCGAGCGGAGCTCTTACCTGGAGTCGGGGTACTTGGTGAGCGTGGCCAGGCTGCTGGTATACATGTGACCGCCCACATCAATGTGCACGGGTGCATTGGCTTTGGTCAGCTGAGCTGGTAGTGGGATCCCCTGGGCAGCCAGGGGAGACACTGGCGACCGGGTGAGTGACAGCCGGGACATATTTCCTCCCTCCTGGAGACAGAATTGAAAAGCAAGGGTTCCTAAACCTCCATTTTATGTCCAATGTGATCACAGATTTAATCAGATCACTTCTGCTTGTGCCTGATCACATATTCAGCTGACAAATTACGGCCACCACTGTAATTAAGCGTATTTGCATCTTGGTCTTCAAAGTGCTGGGGATGGGGGTGTAGGGAGAAGGATGCTTATTAGCAATAAGAAATCAAGGGGAAAAATTTTTTTTCCAAGGTGTCAGCCTCCAGGGGCATAAAACAAACTGCAAAATTCTAATTAAAGGTCGCGGGCTTATGTGTTAGATGTGAAATATCCCCTGACAAACGAATCACCAATTTGTGAATTGGGATTCAGGGGTTTTTTGCAAGTTTGTCTCAGTAACGAGACACCTCTAAATTAGTGACTTCCTCAGCACCTAAGGCGCCGGAGCTTTATACATGTAGTAAATTTCACATCAAATTAAGAGCATTTTCGTTTCAAAAAAAAATACATAATCGTACAGCCAGTCGACATCCATCTCCTAAGTGCTGGGCCCCAGAAGACCTGCAGATAGTCGAGCAGGTTCCCTAGGAAAAGAGCAGAGTACTGCGGGGCTGACCTAGCCCACCCTGCAAGCTCACCGAGGTGGTGCCTCCACCGCCGCCGCTGCCTTGTGCGTATGCAAGCGAGGACCCGCTCGGCCGCTCCTTGCGGTGAGGCATCTAGGCTTCCATCCCTGCCCAGAGTATCTGTGGGAAGCAGCGACAGGGGGTTTACCCCTCAGGAGCCACGGACACTGGACCTCCCCTGGGGTCAATGGTTTTTACAAAGATGCCATCTGGGACCCCATATATGCCGGGCAGCCCTCCCAGATTCCACCCAACACTCCACACCCCAAAGCAGACCTCCAGGCCACCTCTCCCTCCCTCCCTCCCTCCCTCTCTCTCTCTCTCTCACACACACACACACACACACACACAGTTTTCTAGGCAGCTCCCTGTCTGCTAATTTGGCTAATGACAGCCTAAAACATATGCTCGCCATTATTGCCCTGCAATGTTTCAGAACAAATCTGATTTCTTTGGTATTTTGAGTTAGAGCCGTGTCACCAAGCGTGTCTCCTCTTACATCAGTGGAGGGAACCTTGGGGGAGTGCAGCTCCCCTTAATGACCCCGGGGAGCCCAGGACTTCTCGCCACACAGTTAGGGTGCAGTTTGTACAGGACCCCTCTTCCCTAAGAAGCCAGGGCACAGGGAGCCACCAGTCACCTAGGGCTCCCAAAGCAGACAGAACCTGTCTTTGTTCGGCCTCCTCCTCGCCTCCCTGCTTCTCCACAGACCCCCAGAATGGGGCTGCCTGAGCCTAATGTATTCCAGACCCCCTCAGGATCATAGGCCCTTGAGGCATGGAGAGCTGGCCAGACAGCAATCAGTAAATGGGCTTTCCTCCCCTCCTCCCCAGAGCCACTCAGGGACTTTCCTATGAGCCACAGACACCTGAAATAAAACGGTGCCTCAGTCCCCAGAAGCTCCCTGTGGGGGCTTTTTAAGGGACCCATACAGGAGGGTGGAAAAGGGAAGGTTTCCCGGCTACCACCACTACTGACTTAGGGATGCCTTGAAGGGAGATAGAAGTCTCTCTCTCTCTCTCTCTCTCTCTCTCTCTCTCTCTCTCTCTCTCTCTCTCTCACACACACACACACACACACACACACACACACACACACACACACGGTGGGGGATTCCACAGACAGAACCTGGATTTCTCCGACACACGTTTAACCCTTATGGGTCAACTACAGGTTACCATGATGCTCTCTTTCCAGTAAACTCTCTTCAAGAGCTATGCCTTAAAATCCCGGCATCCAATTATAAAGCACGGTCAGAGGCACATGGACGCAAACCCTCGAATACAAGACTCCCCCCCCCCCATGGCTTGTTCTGTGCCCCCAGCGCCCTGGGAAGCTCTCTAACCCTGAAACTGTTTGGGGTGAAGGGAGGGGGCTCTGTGGGGGGGGGGCAGCTTGTTTTGGACATTCCAAGTCACTCATCTCAAGGAAGTTTCTGAGAAGCACAAACAGACCTGAGGGGTGGATGGATTGGTTACCCAGCCCTGGGAGGGGGTGGGGACGAGGACGACCCACCGAGGGTCACACGGGCTAGAAGGAATTCCCACCCAAAGTCTCCCAAAGCGCCCCCGTGTCTCCTGCACTGCCAGGGCCCAGCTCGCAGTGACAAGCAGCATCAAGTGCCCATCTCCCAAGCTGCCCGGGAGAGAGAGAGAGAAAGTGTTTCCCACAGCACAAAACCAGAAACTCACCATTGGAAGCCCCAGGCCTTACGCCTTGACCCGAATCTCCACTGCTCCCTCCGACAAATGCATCTGCGGTGGACCGCGGCCCGAGACCAGTGCTGAGATCACAAGCATAAAAGTGCATTTGGTAAGAGAGACACCCAAGTCCACCGCACCAAACGCCACACGACTCCCGGCTGAGGCTTGGCCAAGCCGCCTGTTGCAGGGGACCTCGGCCGGGTGTGCAAACCGGCCCAGCAGCGACCCGCTTCTTCTCCAAGCTGCGGTGGGAGGACGCCCCCCCCAGTCCCGCGCCCACCCGCAGCCGAGCCCCGCCCGCCTCAGCAGAGGGAAGTGAGCAGAATGCCACGCTCATTTACACACAAAATGACTTTGTGTCCCATTGTGCTCGCAGTTGTTCAGCTCTCTGGGGGTGATTAAACTGGCTGAGCTGCGGCAGCTTGAGACGATTTCGCTAAATCGCCTTCCTCGCTTTCTCTAAGTCGCTTCTTTTGCTAAGCTGTTATTTTAACCATAAAAGGTAAACAGAAGGCGCCTCCGAGTTCCCTTCAGCTCTGCGCCCTGGGCGCCTGCCCGGAGCGACAGTGCCAGGGGCCTGCAGGACTGTCCCGGGGGTGGACTGAGAGGGACGCGGACGGGCCACCTGGTGCGCGACAGCCCCGGCCGCAGAGCCTGCCGGCCCGTGTGAACTTCGGGGCTACAGGAGGCGGCTGGGCCGAACCTCCGGCCCCGCGGGGCGGGGTGGCCAAGGTACCCTAAGGGCCCAGGGAGGAAGGGGGTGGGAGCGCGGCGAGGGGGGGCGGAGACAAAGTTAAATCAAGAGGCAGACACTTCGAGACCACAGATGGGAAGCTCGCCTAATTAAGGACGTAAAAGCGCTTTTGTTCTCAAAGTTTATTGTTGCCGGGATTTAAAAAAAAATTAATTGAAACTAATGCTGTTATTCTACTCGTGCAGTTAAATTCCTCCATGCACATTTGAGACACGGAGCGAAAACTTGGAGGTTTTATCTTTCTGCAGCAGTCGGGGGTTTCTGGGAGGGAGGGAGGGCAGAGGGGCGCTACAGCGGCGCGGAACGCGAGGACGAGGGTGTCCGCACCCAGGTCAAGGGGTGCGTGTGGGGCAGCGGAGCTACGGAGACCGAGGTCCGGCCTCGGGACCACCACCAGCGCGTCTGGCGTGGGACCCGTGGGGTGGGCGTCCGAGGACGCACATCCGTCCCGTTAGAGACTTTTCCCTCCCACCCGCCCCCCTTTTCTCTGATTTGGGCGCCAACCCAGTCCTGTGCGCGCCCCGAAACCCCAGCCGCGCGGAGCGGGGTTTCAGAAAGTCATCGGCTCTGCAGGGCGCTCGAGCCGGCACTGGAACCAGAGTGCGGGGAGGACCCGGACGCAGTGCACCGCGCGGCAGGAGGATCGGAGCCGGGCCGGGCGGGGAGGGTCCACCCGCGGCCAAGACCAGCCCACGTGGGCACCCCCCCCCCGCCCCGTGCGCGCCCAGGCCTTTGTGCCGGGCGCCCCCACGCCGCCAGCCCCTGCGCTCAGCCGAGGGACAAAGCAGCCCGCACACCGCCACCCCCCTCGGCCCTCCCCAAAGCCCAGGTCCCGGCCCCGGGCCGAGTGACTTTCTCGGCATCGCCGCCACTTTGGGAAGCAGGGGGGAGAGGGGGGTGTGCGGCGCTGAGCGGTGGCCGCCCGCGCTGCGCTTACCTCGGAGCCGGAGCGGCGGATCGGGCTCCGGCGCGGCCCCCGCCCCCCCGCGCAGCCGCCGGTGTCGGGCGCCCGGCGCAGCCTGGTCGCCTGGTGCTCGAAGCGCGCGGGTCGCTCCGGTCTCGTCCTGGAGTTACTTTCTCTCTCGCCCCCAACCCTCCCCCCACCCACCCCTCCCGCCCCGGCCCCCGCTCCGCGCGGCCCCTCGCGGCGCGCCGCGCCGGGGCCTCCCCTCCCCGCCCTCTCCTCGCCTCCTCCCCTCCTCGCCGCGGCCGCCGCCGCCGCCTCCTCTCCGCGCCGCTCTTCGGCTGCCCTCCCGCCGCTCCCACCTCCTCTCCTCCCTCCTCTCTCTCTCCAGAGGCTTCCTCCCCACCCCGATGACTGGGGGAAACGAAAAAAAGAGAGAGAGGAAAAAAGAACAGCCCCCCCCCGCCCCAAACCAAGCCGGTAGCCTGTGCGCCTCGCCGCGGCCCAGCCCGGATTGCAAAGGGCAGCGATCCGGTTCCAAATTACCCCGGCGCGGCGAGCGCGAGCGGGCGGGCGAGTGCGCGCGGGCGACTCCTGGCTCGGGGCTCAGCTGCGCCTCGGGGCAGAGGATTAGAGTCGCAATTAGCTCCGCGCGCCCGCGCCTGCCGCGCTCGGCGACAAAAAATGCACCGTTTCCCCCACCGCCGCCGCCGCTTCCTTCCCACCTCCCGATCCCCACCCGTCGTTCCCGAAGCCCGGTGCCTGGGTGCCGGGGGCGGGGAGCTCGGCCAGGACCCTTCCGGCAGCGCCGCGCCGGGGGCCCCCCGCGCCCTCTGCGCCCCAGCCCCCCGCCGTCCGGCCACGCGGCGCCCGGGCCTCCTCCTCCGGGCTCGGGGAGGGGGCGGGGGAGAGGCTGATTTTAATCATTGTCATTTCATCTGATGTAATATTTCCCCGGGCGCTTTCAGCTGGGCATAAATTTTCGACTCCCAAATAAGTAACACAGGGCACGTTTCTCACATTTCTCGACTCCTCGGTTACAAAGAGGAGAGAAGCAGCCGCCGCTGCGGCGCCCCGGGGCTGAGGGCGGGACTTGGCGTGGGGAGGGGGAGAGGAACTGGGCTGCCAGGCCGCTTACCTCCCTCTCTCCCTCCCTCCTGCCCGGGGGTCTCGGCCCGGCTGCCCCCTCTCCCGGGGAGCAGCGCCGCCCGTGACGTCTGCGGACACGCGGTGGCCACCGCGGGGGAGGAGGGGCGCGCGGGGCACCCGGGCCGGTCGCCCCGGGGCCACTCGCGCCATTTCCTGAACGAGCGCGGCGCGATGGAGACGGCGGCGGCCGAAAGGTCCCTGCGACGCGGGGCCTGCGCCCTGGACGCCCCTGGCTGCTCCCCGCTGCCCCTTCGTCCTCCTCCTCCTTCCCCTGCGCCCCGCACGCCCCTCCTCCTCCTCCTCGACCATTTCCCGGCTCCTAGGAAACGGATCGTGGCCGGTGCGAAGCTTCGCCCACACTGCGCCCCCGCCTGGTTCCCGGGACGCCGGGGCCAAAGCCAGGCTTTCGGCTAGAAAGGCGGGTGCGCTCCGGCTGGGAGCGGCGCCCTGGTCCCCTTCACTGACTCCGGCCGGGCCTGGGCGCCCTCTACTGGACAAATTCCTGGGGGTGCTCTCGAGGCCAGACCCGAGCACTGTAGAGAGAAGATTGGGGGGCCAAGGGAGTGGGGGGCTAGTCTCACCCGATTCAGGAGACCTCTAGTGCCAAGAAAGCATCCCGACCGCGCATCTGTAACTTCACGCGGGAATAAGAAACTTTCCTCCCGAGGGATCTATTTATTTATTTTTTTTTATCTCAAAACTACTGGAGGAGGGGGGAAATTTATTTTCTCATTAAAGATACATCCCTGCAGTTAGTTCAATTACTTGATATATGCAGAAGATGTTGTAAATTTATAGATTTAAATAGCTTACAAAGATGCCGCAGGCCCCATCAGTTAATTTCCTTAATTTATGGATTTTAAGCTGCTCCAAGAACAGAAAGGGGCCCGGGAAGTAGGTCAGGGAATCTGAACTGTGGGGTCCTTGGCTGCCCACTTTTGCTTCCCGAGCTCCGGAACCCCCTGGGCTTCCAGCTCCCAGCTTCGCTTAAAACGGTGCTACTCTTCGGGCCAGCAGCATCAGGCCAGGTCCAGTTCCCTGGGTGGCTTCCTCGATCTTTCGACGGTCTACGGGAGTGGAACCTAGAAACAGCCAAACTCCCCAGTGTTGAAGAAGGTGGCCCTCAGAGCAAAGCAAAAACAACTTGGCACAGTCTTGTCTGGAGTCCTTCCCGGAGCTGGCTGGTGCGCGAATGCCCTCAGCTCCGGGAATAGAACTGTCCCATGTCGTGCTGGGCGGTGGTGCCGCTCGCCTTTAATCCCAGCACTCGGGAGGCAGAGGCAGGCGGATCTCTGTGAGTTCAAGACCAGCCTGGTCTACAGAGCGAGTTCCAGGACAGCCTCCAAAACAATACAGAGAAACCCTGTCTCGAAAAACCAAAAAAAAAAAAAAAAAAGACCTGTCCCATGTCTCTGAAGAGGAGAGAGTGAAGGAGGCCTATATGCTAAGATCACCTAAGGACCAAGGAGCCTCCGAAAACCACTTGCCATGGCCTGAGTGGCTGTTGGCGAGTCTTTTTGTCTTGCGTTCAATACGGTTGAATACATACATATAAATCCAAACTTGAAAGGTTGGCATGAACTCAGCTGTTTTAGGAGGCCACGTGGCAACGTGATCAGGGCTGGTATTCATGATTTAACATTTCTTTTCCCTCTAGATGAAGTTTCTAAGATTCACAAGGCACATGTCAAGGACGGGTGTATAAATGGATTTTTATTTATTCACAACTCCACGACTAATTGCTTCCCTTTGCCTCAAGGCCACGAGATTGGTTTTAATACGACACTTCAAAAGTATTCATAGAACTCCAGAGATAGCAAGTGTCATTGTTCAAGAGACAAATCTCACCGTGATACTGGTGACCCGAAAAAAGGAGCAGGTTTTCGCTTTATTTTAAATTCCTGCATTTTTTTCAAAGTTTCGCTTGATACCAACTCTATTAAAAATGCACAGTTTAATCAGAGCAAGGGCTGACCACTTACTTCCTTCATGCGGAAAGTCTTTGTTTCCATGTTCTGCGGTCCCTTTATTGAAATGCTGAACTGTGGGTGTGGGTGTCATTAGGAAGCATTAACTTAGGTCTCAGCTTCTCAAGTGTTTTCAAAGTTCCTGGCGAAAGTGGCTGGAGAGATGGCTCTGCGGTTACGTCATAGGCTGCTCTTGCAGAGGATAGGAGTTCAGTTCTTGGCACTCACGTGGCAGCTCACAACTGCCTGTCACTCAGGCTCCAGGGACACCCACACCCTTCTTTCTGGCTTCCAAGGGCACCTGCACATAGATGCACGTTACCCTCTCCCCCAATACAAAATCTAAAATCAAACTTTTTTTTTTAAGTTGCTAGCTTAAGGTCACGGCCGCCTCTTACAGGCCCATGGCAGGTGGTTAGTGATCTGTGATATTTACTCCAATAGGGGTACATTTATAAATGGAGGGTGTATGATTAGGACTGGGAACGCTGGAACAATCGTGTGGACTCTATCTTGCGTAACTACCATCCGAGAGATGAAACTTCGTGATTCCAGGCAGGACTTGTGCCATTTGGATTTGACTAACGCTGAAGTCTTCACAGTCTACAAAGCAGTCCAGATCTGTGCCCAGTGTTGACTCACACACACCCCCCTGCTTAAATTTCCACACAAAGCACCAACCAGGGCAGCCCTGCTAGTGGCAGGGTGCAAATCCTATGCTATCGAGTCGTGGTGGTGAGGGCCTTCGATCCTAGCACTCGGGGCTGAGGGAGGTGGACCCAGACTCAAACAACCGCGGGCCCGGCTGTTGGAACAAGGAACAGGCCCCCAGAAGGAGGAAATGAACCTTGAATAAATTGGTGAGGTAGCCCACTTCCAGATTCTCGGGACCAACGGGGGATGAACAGCCTGAGGGTCCTTCATCCTAGTGGAAGGAGGGATAAGTGTCCAAGGAACTAGGTAGAGACAGAGACGTCTCTTCTTCCAACTGGAGGAGGCTTTCTGGGGTCAAAGCCTACCTGCATCTGTATCTACGTCAAGGCTAAGAGAGGGCCCTCTTCATGCGGCGCCAGGCTGGACCAGAGCTCACAGATGGACCTTTACCTGGCCCTGCCTCCACCATCTGAGTTTTTAAACTTTTTGTTGTTGTTTGGTTTTTTGTTTTGTTTGTCTTTTTTTCCTTTTTTTTTTTTTTTTTTTTTTTTTTTGGTTTTTCGAGACAGGGTTTCTCTGTATTGTCTTGGAGGCTATCCTGGAACTCGCTCTGTAGACCAGGCTGGCCTCGAACTCACAGAGATCCGACTGCCTCTGCTTCCCAAGTGCTGGGATTAAAGGCGTGCGCCACCAACGCCCGGCCTTGTTTGGTTTTTCAAGACGGGGATTCTCTCTGCAGCCCTGGTTGCCCTGGAACTCACTATATAACCTTGAACTCAAGAGATCCGCCTGCCTCTGCCCCCTGAGTGCTGGTGTTAAAGACGCTGGTGCCGCTACTGCCTGGCTTGAATTTTCTCTAGAAGATTCTAAAGAACTCAGAGACCCAAGTGAGCAATGGAAATGAGATAATGGGCTGGTGGCCCGTGTCTGTAATCCCAGCACTGGGGAAGTAGAGGCAGAAGGATCAAGAAGTTAAGGCTAACCTGGGCTAATTTAAGTGCCACTCTGTCTCCAATATGCTAGGTCTGGTAACCCGTATTTGTAACCTCCGCACTTCAGAGGGAGAGGTAGGATGCTCAAGAGTTCAAGCCCAGCCTTTAATCCCAGCACTCGGGAGGTAGAGGCAGGCGGATCTCTGTGAGTTCGATCCAGCCTGGTCTACAGAGAGAGTTCCAGGACAGCTTCCAAAACAATACAGAGAAACCCTGTCTCAGAAAACCAAAGCCAAAACAAAACAAAACCAAAACAAAGAGTTCAAGCCCAATCTTGGCTACATTGTAGCTAGCCTGGGCTATATGAACTCTGGTCTCAAAACAAAATATCAAAATATAAATGCAGCCAGGCGGTGGTGGCGCACGCCTTTAATCCCAGCACTCGGGAGGCAGAGGCAGGCGGATCTCTGTGAGTTCGAGTCTGGGCTGGTCCGACAGCCTCCAAAACAATACAGAGAAACCCTGTCTGGTAAAAACCAAAAAGGGAAGTTATCCCAATGACCCCCCACAGCACATCATGCTACACCATACTGCCCCAAACTGGATTTCATGCTAACAAACTTTTAACAACCAGACTTAGCTCCTGGGTTGGAGTTCCTTCCTTGGGAGTGAAATGAATATCGGGCAAAGTTTGTCTGTGTCCGGGGAAAGTTGGAAGAGAAGGGTTTTATGCTCAGGCTTAGAGCCCATAGGAATTTGTGAGGTGTTTCTTAGGACCCTTGCCAACTCCCAGTGGCATATGCCTGAACTATCCGGGCTCGGGAGGTTGAAGCCAGCCTAGGCTGCATAAATAAGTCAGATGCCTGTCCATATATATAATTTGAAGACCTTTTTTGGGGGGGAGGGGGCAGGGGCAGGCCAGTGTAGCTCTGGCTGGTCTGGAACTCCCTCCCTTTGTAGACTAAGCTACAGAGATCCACCTGCCTCTACCTCCCATGTGTTGGGGTTAAAGGTGAGCACCTCTGTGCCCAGCATAATATTTAATTTTAAAGAAGTTCCTCGAGCTCCAGCCGGAGATGGCTTAACCGCCTTTCACCTACACCCTCAGGAGACAAAGCTCTGAGGTGGGGGTGGACAGGCAAAGTGTGGCTTCTTCCAGGCAACCAAACCAGGCCACCGGCCCCAGGCGCTCCACCTGGGTTCCTCTCCGGGCTCATTCCACTCCAGGGAGCTGCTTCAGTAGGGCCTTGAGGAGCTCCCAGCAACCCCTCCAGGCATGGGGGGTGGGGCTGCTCCCTGTTAACTCAGGGAGAAAACAGTCTAGTGGATTTCCACTTACACTCAGGCCTGGCATTGGTAGGAACCTCCGGAGTCGTGTGTGTGTGTGTGTGTGTGTGTGTGTGTGTGTGTGTGTGTGTATGTGTGTGTGTGTGTGTGTGTGTAGTGAGGCTCTTTCTGGGGTCCTCCTACTAGGAGAACACAGGCGCAACACTTGGGTCGCGTTGCCAAGTGTCTTCTCGTGGCTTCAGGTAACAGTCTGGTTCTCATAAGACACGGGGATCTTTAGACACTTTTGCAAGAATCCCAGGGAATTTTTTTTCCCAGGAAGGATTACAGGTCAAGAGGAAAGTGACCTTTGGTCTCTCAGTTCAGTCCTGGGGCTCTTTTTTTCCAGGACAAAAACCTCCCAGGATGACACTTCTGTCCCTTCCCAGGCAAATTTTTTTTTCTCCTTGGGTTTGCTTTGGAGTATGTGTGGGGAACACGGGTCTGCCTGAGTAGCCCTGGGCATGGCCGTCCCCGTCTGCCTTCACATGTGATGTTGGAACGTTGAGAAAACTGAAGGTAAGCACACAGACAGCAAAGAACTTGACCCAGCCTAAGCTAAATTCTTTAGCACGGGTGTTGCTTTTAAAGTGCTCAGCACGCTGGGGGTGTGGTTCGGTGGTTGAGTGCTCACACCCAGCGTGGGCAAAGTCTTGGCTTTCACTCCTGGCATCCAAACTGATGACGATGGTGACAATGATGGTCCTGGTGGCGGCGGCGGCCTTTTCCAAAGGACTCTTGAACCAGCTCTGGTCAGCCTGGATTGTACCCTCACCCCTGCTGCACACCTGACGGAGACACGGTGCATCATGGGAAGGTTGGGTGGAGACCGCTAAAGCAGCCCCTGGATTCTAGAGTTGGGGCTTAAAGCCCTGTGACTGCATAATTAAGACAAACACGTACACCTTAAAGGGGTGGGGGGGGGGGGACTGTAAAATTTGCCTGAGGTTTAAAGATAAAATGCAGGACTTCAGAAAAATGTCCTATTTGCTTTGGGCTTTATCTTTGAGGCAAGATTAGGAAATGTCCTGGGGTTTTCTGTCCTCAGGGCCCAGGAGACAAAGGGCAGCACAGCTCCAGGGAGGAGACCCTCATCCTAGCTCCAGGGCATGAGGGTCTTCTGGGAAATTCTTTTTTTTCTTTTGCAAACCAGGAAACACTTTACTGTCTTTAAAAATATTGGAAGGGAGCCGGGAGGGTGGCGGCACACCTTTAATCCCAGCCCTCGGGAGGCAGAGGCAAGCGGATCTCTGTGAGTTCAAGAGCAAGTTCCAGGATAGCCTCCTAAATCACGGAGAAACCCTGTCTCGGAAAAAACCAACCAACCAATATTGATCATTACTACTGTATGAAGGTGTTGAAGTTTAACCCATAACCCCATTGTCATGTACAAACCTTAGATTTAACATAGCTGGGTTTTGAGGGGGGGGGAATTTTTTTTCCTGTCTTTTGTTTTATTTTGTTTTTTTCAAGACTTGGTTTTTCTGTATTGTTTTGGAGGCTGTTCTGGAACTCTCTCTGTAGACCTGGCTGGCCTCGAACTCACAGAGATTCATCTGTGTCTGCCTCCTAAGTGCTGGAATTAAAGGTGTGCGCCACCACTGCCCGGCTTCGTTTGGGTTTTTCAAGATGGATTTATCCGTGTAACAGCCCTGGCTGTCCTGGAACTCGCTCTTGTATACCAGGCTGGCCTTGAACTCACAGAGATCCGCCTGCCTCTGCCTCCCGAGTGCTGGGATTAAAGGCATGGACCACCACTGCCCAGTTTAATAAAACCCTTTAAAACACATGATTATTGTAAGCAAATACAATGAACCTCAATAAAATCCACAAAAAGGACTGCTTCCTCTTCCTCCCCCTCTTCCGGGATGCTGCCAACACTTCAATTTGTCTGCCCAGACTTCTCCTGTTCATGTACTCACAGAGTGCCCCTGGACTCACAGATACACATTCGTGGACACGCATGCTCAAAGGCACAGAGAATTAAAACCCTGGGCATAGTGCCATGGGCAGATGCAGATACACACAGTTAGTGAAACGCAGAATGTCACATGCAACTCCAGTTGTGCACGTATGTAGTAGAAGCCCATGTGCTCACACATGGGACAAACACTTTTGCGAGCATGCGCGCACACACAGAGACACACACTTGTGATTTTCAAGCACGGAATTATAGGCAGGAGGCATGACGCGGTGGCAGGGTTGAGACCCGGACAGCAAAAATCAAATCAAAAGGAATTAACCTACTTGTCTACCCCAGACTGTTCTTCCTCTTCACTGTGTCCTGGTTTCCCATTCTTCTGCTGAGCTAGACCCCCCCAAAGTGTCTCTCTCATCTTGTGCGTTTCAAACCACAGAAAACATTGTCACAGATAAGCAGGCAGCCCCCACCGAAATACAGCCAATAGTATACAAGACAAAGGAAATAATACACATCAGTTAAAACCCATCCCTTTTTCGCCGTCATATTCCTCTGTGGGCAGCAACATAAGGATGGACTCACCAGCAAGGGGTAACACCTTGTTTTAGGTTTTACCTAAATGGACCTCCTCTGGCATCCTGTGTGGGTGCCATTTGGCTGGGCTCACATTGCTGGACATGGCTGGCCCCTCCCTTATCCCTCCATTGATCTACGGGGACTCCACAGCTCCTACCCCTTCCCTCAACTGGCATCCCTCCCCCTTCTTCCTCCCTGCAGCTCCTCTCTCTCTCTCTCTCTCTCTCTCTCTCTCTCTCTCTCTCTCTCTCTCTCTCTCTCTCTCTCTCTCTCTCTCTCTCTCTCTTCTCTTCCTCCCTTCTCCTTTACCTGTAGGGCATTCAAGCCTCTGGCAGAAAAACCTGGAAGGTCATCCAAGGAAATACAAAAAGAGGCATCTAGATATATTTCACAACAGTATCTCCCTGTACATATTTTTTTAAACCATGGTTTTTACATTTAAGGCTCTCATCCTTCTTAGAATTAACTTTTGCCTATGGTTTGAGGCCTTGAGCTAAAAAAGAAAAAAATGTAATTTTCAAAACAGCTAGCCAGTCTTTTAGACATGCTAACCGATAAGAGATCTCTCTCTCTCTCTCTCTCTCTCTCACACACACACACACACACACACACCTCGGTGTTTTGCTGGAACTGGGGGAATGGAAGCTTCTTGGTTTTTGCTTTATCACCGAAGGATCTGGTGAGTTCAAATGCGTTGTAAAAAATTAAAGCATCGATTCCTTCAGTAATTAGAACTAATTACAAATGACTCCCCCACACCCTGGAAATCTCATTTTCTTCTTCGTAGGGAAGCTGGGTTCGGATGCGCAAGAGGTTAAATTATTGATTCCTATTCTCTCCTGCCCTGTAGTACCTAGTGATGTCTGTGGCCGCCACGTCACCGCCTTTGTGGTGGGCAGAAAGGACTTCAGACCCGGCAACCAGTGTCACCAAAGGTCTTCAAATAATGGCATCAACCGAAGCTGGAAATGGGGATGTGACCTCTGGCTGCAGGGCTGGAGCTTGCAGCTGAAGAGAATGCCGTAGGCGGGCGGGCAGCCTGCAGACCCGGCCCCGGAATGAACCGTGGAGGGTGGGGCTGGGCACGGCACTGGTCCACACTGGAAAAATGAAGATGTCTAGGAGCCTCTGATATTTTGTGTTTATCATGTATCAATAGTGGAGGACTCTAAACTGTGGTGTGTGTGTGTGCGTGCTCGTGCACACGCAAATGTATATAAGTTCCATGAGAATAGTATACACACTAGTCTATGATTGATAATTATATAATGTGCTGTGTATAATTATACATACCATAATATCATATAACATTAGAAGTGTTAGTTCGTATCTCTTGACCCTACCCAAACTTGTAATTTTTTCTTGTTTGTTTTGTTTTTCGAGACAGGGTTTCTCTGTGGCTTTGGAGGCTGTCCTGGAACTGGCTCTCGTAGACCAGGCTGGCCTCGAACTCACAGAGATCCACCTGCCTCTGCCTCCCAAGCGTTGGGATTAAAGCAGTGTGCCGGTACGCCTGATTGTTTTCGTCTGTTTGTCTTTTATGTGTACCGGGGTGCGTGTGTGAAGGTGGGAGTCAGTTCTCTCTATCACCTCGTGGGACCCGGGGACGGAACTTAGATGTTCAGGCCGGGTGCCCAGTACCTCGCAAGCAGAGCTATCTGGCCCATTAACATCTTGGGGCCCAGACTGTGAGGTTGCAAATGTTTAAGCTTTTTCTCTTTCTTTTCTTTTCTTTCTTTCTTCTCCCCCACCTCCTGCCCCCCCCTATAGGGTTTCCCCTGGCTATCCTAGAACTGGCCATATAGACCGTGCTGGCCTCTAACTCATAGAGATCTGCCTGCCTCTGCCTCCCCAGTGCTGGGATCAACGGAGTGCACTGCTACCTCTCCGCTTTAAGAGGTTTTTTTTTTTTTGTACTTGCTTAGTTCTGTTGTTGAGATGGGGTCCTAGGCAGGCCTTGAACTTGTGACCTTCCTTCCTGCTTCCGCTTCCCCTATGCCAAGTTACAGGTGTGCACCGCCAGATTCGAATGTCTAGTTATTTCAAAGTTGTGAGCTGAGCTAAGCACAGACATCCTTCCTCCTTGACATAAATGACCAGGGACGTAAAGTTCACTCCGGAATTCTCCATTCTTTGGTCCTGTGCGCTTGGATGTGGCTACTTGGGATCAGCCATCTATCTGTGTGTGTGTGTGTGTGTGTGTGTGTGTGTGTGTGTGTATGTAGGGGTGGGGGTGTCTCATGTGCACAACCCGCTTGCCCATTCCGGATCTCTCTGTACCCTGCACAGAGTCATGATTTCTCCCACCAGCAGAGCCCACCGCCCACTTGGTACAGCCTCGTTGGGATATCCAAAACGCCTTAGCCTCTATAGACCCGGGTGTAGACTCAGAATCCAGTCTTGCTGTTCTCCCAACCTGCACTCCACCCCAGGGCTCCTGTCCTGTCTCACCCGTTACTCAGCTCCGTAAAGGAGAAGCCGGAGGTCGTTTGAAAGCCTGCCTTGTTACCCTGTCTCATCCCCAGCCCCTCATTAACGTCAGGTAAGGCACTCCACAAACCCAGGCCTGACTCCATCGCTACCTCCCCTCACCCTGGGCCAGGCGCCGTCGCCCCCATCCGGGCACTTGAAGCGGTAAGGTAATCCTTCTGTGCTCGCTGCTTCAGTTTCCCTCTTTAGGTCCCCTCCAGGAAACCAGCGGGCAGGAGATCACAGGAGTGCTCCCTTAAAGCCACGCAAAGGCGTTCCTTGCTCTTGGGTGGAAACTTACATCCTCCTAAACAGGTCGTGCTGTTCAGAAGGGCCACTGTTGTCAGCTGGGATCTGTCTGGCTTTTCAAACAGCCAACTGGTCCACTCACTCGGGGAAGGTATAACAAGCGTGCTGCCCTGGGCTCTTTGGGCTTTAAAGGCTAGCACCCAATGATTGCCATCTCCGGCTGTTTCCGAACATTTGAGAGAAGAGCTCACACAAAGCTTCAAGGGGCGTTTCCCTGCTTAGCTCTGTCCCCTTCTGGCAACCTCTGTAGACAAAACTTCCAGATCTGAGCCGGGCGTTGGTGGCGCACACCTTTAATCCCAGCACTTGGGAGGCAGAGGCAGGCGAATCTCTGTGAGTTCGAGACCAGCCTGGTCTACAGAGCGAGTTCCAGGACAGCCTCCAAAACAACACAGAGAAACCCTGTCTCAAAAAACCAAAAAAAAAAAAAAAAAAAATTTCCAGATCTGGAACACCTGGACTGTCGGGTCTCTCCAAGGCTGGGACCAAGAATGAAGATAAGACCACTTCTTCCCTGAGCCCTGGCTGCTGCTCTGTGGATACGGTAGAGGAAGCAGGTCCACCACGGGACAGAGAGAGGCACAGAACAGGGACAGAGGGGACGCCTGTAGAAAGAGCCCCTGCTATGCAAGTGTCTCAGGCCCTGGGTTCCAGTCATCATCTGAGCTCTGGCCAGGTCCTTTCCATGTGGAATTGGTGGCCTTGAGCTTCTGTCGTTCGCCACTGAACGGTGCTGCTGGAACAATGTCTGATTCTTACCGTCGTTACCTAAAGATGGGAACACCATGTCCCCCTCCTTGGGAATGTTGTGTGTCTGCGGTCTGTGACAAAGTTGCATGTATTCTTGAGGACTCTGAATAGTGACATAGTCTCTGTAGGAGGTCTACTTCTCTCTCTCTCTCTCTCTCTCTCTCTCTCTCTCTCTCTCTCTCTCTCTCTCTCACACACACACACACACACACATGTGCTCTCTCTCAATATACTCACATTAGTCTGAATGTTGGTCTTGGCCATGAGACAGACTGGGTCTCTCTCTGATTCTATTCAGCTCTCTGCAAGAATTGGCTTAATAGGGGTGAGTGAATATGCCTGACGGCTGCACCCTGGGGCCAAACACGGTGTGCAGAGCCCCGAGAGGCTGGTGGGCACTGCAGGCTAGCCCAGCATTCCTGGGTAGGCTAGGGAGCAGTAGGATGCAGTTGCCTAAAAGGGTGGGGTCACGGCTTCAGGGTCAGCACAGTCACCCGGATGTGTGGCTGAGGGCTGGCGTCTTATCTGCTTTTCTGCTGTCAAGACATACCGCGACCAAAGCTACTTTTAGGAGAGTTTATCGGAGGGTTGCTTACAGTTCCAGAGGGTCACAGTAAGGAACACGGCGGCAGGCAGGCATGGCGCTGGAGCACTAGCTGAGAGCTCGCATCTGATCCACAGGAGCAGGCAGAGAAGGAGAGAGCTGACTGGGAATGGCGTGGGCTTTTGAAACCTCAAAGCCCCCCACCCCCCCACCCTCAAAGCGTGCCCCCCCTCCCGTGACGCACCTCCTCCAACAAGGCCACGCCTCCTGATCCTTCCTCAACAGTTCCACCAACTGGGCACCAACCATTAAAAAAAAACCAACAAATAACCCTAAGGGTGCTGTTTTCTTTCAAACCACCACAGGCGGACAGCAGACAGTGAAGTCTCTAGCGGCCGTTTGGGCGGCGATGGGCCATGTGGGTAATCTCCATGCTTCCCTGGGATCTGGATGCCCTGGGTCCCGACTTGGGTGCTGCCACCAAAAGAGAGCATTGCTTAGCACAGGGTCTGACACAGGTGAGCACCGTATATGTAAGTAGAAATTACGGCATGAATACTCGACCCCCACACACACACATAGGGTACTATGTTAAAAACCTCACTCCCAGGGGGCCTTTGGGAGGGCTGAGGTCATGAGGGTAGAACTCAAGACTGGCGTGGATGTCCTTCAGAGCATCTCCCAAGGCTGCTCTCCTATTGCTAGCCTTCTGTGAGGACACAGCTGGGGGTGGCTCTGGGCTACTGCCACCCTGATTTTGGGTTCTAGAACCTCGAGATTCTGCAAACGGAATCCAGAATGTGCTAAACCTTACAGGCAAGCCCCTGAGTGACATCTTAGTCTTTCAGTTTAAGATGGGCTCTCTTAGTGTTCCTCAGGCTGGCCTCGAACTGTTCTGCTTCCAACTGCCTGGGTAGCTGGACCCAAGGCCTGCGATGCCAGGCCAGACTCAGGTTCCCTTACGGTCCTTTGGGATACAGAAGCTGAACCATGGTAGCCTCGAAGCTCTTTACCACCTCCTGGGGCAGCGCACACTCTAATCTCCCTGTTGGGACCTAACAGTTACCCGGGAGCTGGTGTCAACCCTCCTGGGTAGTCTCCTTCTATACTTTCTGTACCGTTGCCCGGGTAAGGGGAGGTTCACAGCGATTGCATTTGCTCCCACGGGTCCAAACCCATCCACAAAGGGTGGTCCTGATTCCTGTGTGTGTGTGTGTACATGAATCACATGTATGTATGGAGGTTAGAGGTTGACATTCAGCGTCTTCCTCAATTCCTCTCTAGGTTATTCTTTGATCTCAAGTCTCCACCGGGAGACTGAGCCCGGGGCTCAGCTAGGCTGGCCGCTAGCAGGCCAGCTCTGGGTGTTGAATCTCCATTTCCCTGGTGCTGCGATGACAGACACCCTTCAAGGTACCTACTTTGCACGTGGGAGCTGGGGATCTGAACCCGGGTCCTTGAACTTACACAGCTAGGGTTTTACTGACTGGGTTGTGTCCTCAGCCTCCTGGCGCTTGGTTTTGAACATAGCACTATGATGTCTCAAGACTTGTCCATCTTTGGGATGCACCAATCCTAATCACTGCCCGCCCCCTGAGGCCACCCCAAGCCCTGCCCCCCAGCCACCTTCCAGTGGTCCCTGCTCATTTTACACAGACTCCCTGAGGCTAGCCAAGCTGGCTGCCAATCCATGGAGCGCGCTAACGTCTGAGAAATGATGGTGAACCCTTGTCCCTGTGTCATTAATTCTCCCGTGATTGAGGCCTTTCCCCGGGGTGGGTGCGGGGCCAGGTGACTGATCACACCTGCTGAGTCTCTTGAGGACTTTGGCCAGTGGGAGGCATCAACAGAATTTCCCCAGTGGAAGGCTGCTTGGAGATTAATGGCCCTGAGCTGCGGGAAGTTCTGGGTGTGTTAGGCAGCTGGCCCCAGGTGCCCGAGGCCCTTGGATCTGCCCACCGCCCCTCTCTGCCCGACCCCTTCCTGGATCAGAGCCGCGTGCCCGGACTTAGCCTTTGCTTGGATCTCAGGGTCCCCCAGAAATGGTAGTCTCGGCACATCATGCCTGAAACCTCCAACACAAATAATTTTCAATTTGCCTGGGAGTTTCAATCGTACAATCCGATGTTAAATAATAGATTAGATGCCTCAGGGAGAGAAACAGGATTTAAGGAGAAATAAATAAAAGGCAAAGTAAAAACCTGTGCATGGGTTTGGAGAGTAACTCTGATCTCCCCAGTTTCTGCTCCTGGCCTGGATTTGATTGCAGTGGCGGGGACAAGCAGGTCTGGGGGGGGGGCAGGGGCAGTAAGGACTGCCACCCGCACTTATCCCTGAGAGCAGCTGGGTCTCTCTTCCAGATGCTGGATGAACTCTTTCCATCCCCTGCGCCCCCTTTTGGGGGCTCTGTGCCCCAAGGAGATGCCTTAATCTGTACC